AAGACAAAAATGTACTGTTTATTTTGGACAAGGATGGCATGTTATATCAAAGTCATGACATTCACACAACAGGGAACAACTAAGAATGGCACCGACCACTGCTGAGGTCTCATTCGCTTTCATAAAGAAAGGAGATTTTGCTCTAAGAATGACTGGTGGTGGGGGCAGGTAAAAGCAGAAAATTCCAAGATCACATTGACATTCTACTGCAGTTTTCCTTACTTCACAAGGGAAGGCATAAGGCAAGTCCATCAGCCTTAGCTAGATTTTCTAAGACATGCATTTGGAGAAATTAAAGGAAAAGGTGGGACTAGTTTCCTCACAAAATAAATTTCTACCACAAGAATGCAAGAAATCTTCAAAACACAACTAACCTCAAAGTCTAGGAACTCTGAATTTTTTTTTTTTTTTTTTTTTTTTTATCCTTCCTCCCCATCATGAATAACGATTATTATTTTTCTCACTTGATTTTAGTACATATCCTTCAAAAGCATTCTGGAAGGCTGAGAAACTAAAGAAAATAATTACAGACCTAAGCAATGGGTACAGTCTGAGTAATTACCATTTTTTCATCTCCAACAATCTGATATCTCCTCCCCACACCAAAAAGAAAAAGATAAAGAAAAAACAAAATAAAACAAAACAAAAAAACAACCACCTCTCTAAACAGCAGGTAGAACCACTAGCAATAATCATCACTAGGCATTCCTGGGACTTAATAATATAGAATTATAGAGGGAGCGAAAGGCATTCCACAGATGAGACTCCCTGTCCATCCACAATGCTATTATTACCTTTTTGTCCTCCACATCCCAGCTGGACCATTGTAAAAGTTAGTCAGCCTAACTTCAGTACCCGCTCATCCTTAGTTACTTTCCACTCTACAGCCAAAGTTCTCTTTCTAAAACACAGATCTAGTGCTCTTAACCCTTGGTTTTTGAAAATCTCTAAGAGTCTGCTAACCTACCACAATGAACATTATCTGAAACCCATTTAGTCCCCTCAGAAACTATGGGGAAACCATGAAGAAAATGATGCCCAAAAGTATAGATGGAAGTAAGATAAAAGGGTTATAAAAATCAGAAGCCTTCAAGAAGCATTAACTCTTCCAGCTTTTCACAATCTGCCCCCAACTTCCTGTAGTGGCATTTACCACAAGAAATTTTAAACAGTTTCCAAACCCCAAACCCTTCTGTCATTTTTGTGTCCTGCATACTGACACTTATCCTTCAGAACAGGCCCAAATTTCTTTCAACAGCACAAGCAGCCTGATGCTCCCACAAGAATCTGCCCATGATAGGCATGGTGTAGTGCAATCACCAACATATCTGTTTCTGCTAGACTGAGGTTCTTGTGTGGAGCATCAGAGTTGTCTGTGCTGTCCCAGCCCGCAGGTCCCACTACACAAATGTGTGTGTTGTGCGAAGGACCCCAATCACCTTTACTTGTATGCGGAAACTGAGTTCACATAAGTTAAGGGGCCTAACTCAAGTAACCCAGCATTGAGGGCAGGACTAATGGCTGGAAAGCCCAGGGTACTGACTGCAAAGCCTGCTGTCCTTGCAGACTCCCTAAATCATCCGACTGTGCACTGCTCATAATAACCGAGAAAGGCTCCTGCGGCAGCTCCGAGCCCAGGTCATCTCGTTCTCCCGCCTACTCCATCTAGTCTTCTCAACTACTCTCTCCCTTCTCTCCACCCTCAACTTGAACAGAGAAGACTAGGAGCGCAGGAAGTCAAGTCGACTTAGCAGCCAAGTGACTAAAGGAAATGTGCGGACCACCCCACACAGCCCCTCTGGACTCCCAAAGGGCCAGCATCCCACCGTCAGGCGTGGTGGGCTTGGCGATTCTCCAGCTGCCATGCCAGCGCCTAGAGAGCCCTCCCGGGCGGCAGACAGGCAGCAGGGAAGGAGGGGAACGCTGGGACCTGTGGGAGAGGCGCCGCCTCGCCCACCCGGGCGGCCGCGGGCAGCGCCCCGCCGCTCACCGAAAACCAGGATGTTCTTGCCGGACGGTAGCTTGGACCTGGCGCGGGTGGACACTTCACTCAGGATCGAAGACCTGCAGCGACAAGGGGAAGAGCGGTCAGCTCCGGGGCCGCCCAAGACCGGCCGTCTGTGTCTGCCTAGGGTCCGGCCGGCAACCTCTCCATCCTGCCGCGCCCTCCCCGACCCAGCCTGCTGCCTCACCACAGGCTCTGGCCCTCCTCCTCCTCACTAGTGAGGTCGCCGGCAGCAGCCACCGCGGGCCCGTTGGGGCCCAGCAGCAGCTTTTTCTCCACCCCCACCGGCGCCATCTTGCCAACTGCAGCCACAAAGAGGGCCCTCCCCCGGGCCCGCCGAGGACCCTCAAGGACCCGTGAGGACCCTGGCGGGGCCGCCCGTCGTCCCCGCGCCGCGCCGCCCACCACCGGGGCCGTTCAGCTAAACGCGCCCCGCCGGGCAGGCGATGTCTGCGGGCTCCTACGGTTCGCGCGGCCGCTGCGGTAGCGGTAGTCAGGCAATTGCTAGGGCAGCCTTGCAGGAGGAGGTAGGAGGGAGGCGGGCGCCGCCCGGACTCAGAACGCGGTGGCGGCCTCTGCTGGCTGAGGGGCGCGGCGCAGCGCCCGCCCCAGGACCCAGCCCGGCTCGCAGTTACCTGGGTCTGTCTAGTGCTAGGGAGCCCCGTGGACTGACGCGGCAACCCACTCTTTGGAGTAAGACTGATGCTCGACAGCACCACGTAGCTAGCCCTCACAGTGTGCCAGGGCCACACACTATCCCAATCTTACTACAGGCACGGCGGCCCACCCCTGTAGTCCTCGGGACTCGGGGGTCTGAGGCAGGATTGCAAATTTCAGGCCCCAAAGACAGCGAGAACCTGTCTCAAAAAATAAAAGGGGCTGGGGATTTTGCTCAGCGGCAAAGCACTCTCTGGATTCAGTCCTCACTAACTACCCGCGCAAAAAAAAAAAAAAAAAAAAAAAACAAACCCAAAAACAAAAACTTACCTTTGACCGATGAGGAACCTGAAGTTCAGAATTTGGATGCTAGAAGGTGGCGTCTTGGTACTTATTGTACTCACTAATCTGAAACTGCTATATCGTGAATTAACCTAATCTTCATCAATCCCTGCAGTGAAAGATCGGCCTTAAACAAGATTCTCAAATCCTCATAAGTATCCTGCTTTTCACCTCCACCTTCGTAAATCTTATTAAGACTGTTCACCCCTGTGAACCATATGTTTGGGTTTGTTTTACTAAGAGTTAAAAAAATATATTTTCAGCGGGCTGGACATGGGCTCAGTATTAGAGCGCTTGGTACTTGGCTAACATGCCTGAGGTCTTCCTGGGTTCAGTCATCAGCACCTGAGGGGAAAAAAATTTTTTTTCAGGCATCCAGCCTTTGACACCAAAATTAAACTTTCATTTCCTTTGGGGGGGGGGCGCATAAGAAAAGGGGTAGGGGATGTGAAAGAGGAAGGTGCAGGGAGAAGGAAGAGGAGGAAAGAAAACTGCACAAGGGTAAAGTTAGGTGTGGCCTGAGTGTTCTCAATGTTTTGATGGAAGCAGACTACCGTTTACAAGGCACTGCTAAATATCACAAGTGAATGGGATGACAGAAGAGCAACCACTTAAGTGGGTTTCACATGATAGTGATCCTGGCTCTGCCAAAAAACTGGGCATAGTAAATTATAGCATCCAACAAATGAGCATATCATCTGCAAAAGATCAGGAATAAAAAAAACATTAAATATATTACATCCCTGGAAGCCTGGGAAGATCAAGCAAAGTGTTAGAAATTATAGAAGGGTAAGCAGTGTCTGTATTTTCACAGGCAGAGGATGGGAGTTGAAAACTGTTAAGCCAAACAGCACTAGGTGATACTCTAATATGAGTAGTTGGAAAACAGCATTAAATTTACACAATATCTTTTCTTTTCTTGGAGGAATACCACCAGGTAGGAGGATTCTACAAACATAACAAATGCAGATTTCTTTTTTTTTTTTTTAAAGTTGCTGAGCTGATACCAGGGTATGAATGGTCCTACTTTTTTTTTTTTTAAATATTTATTTCTTTTTAGTTATTGGCGGACACATCTTTGTTTGTATGTGGTGCTGAGGATCGAACCCAGGCCGCACGCATGCCAGGCAAGCGCGCTACCGCTTGAGCCACATCCCCAGCCCCACAAATGCAGATTTCAAAGGAGCATTTGACCATTCTCAACATAAACAAAGTAGATGATATCATTAAGGACTGTCAAAGAACAGGCCAGAAAGGACTGATGATGAAGCCTGCCCCAGCCAATTCATGGTGCTATCATCACTATAAGCTTATGCCTTAGCAAATAAAGATAATCATTATTTGAAAATAAAATTATAATATTAAGAATTGAAACTGCATTAACTATAATCTGAGTTGATCATGTAGAATGCCAAGAAGTGTCCAGTTCATAAACCTCACAGGGTCATAGTCAAGCCACACTTCTTAGGGTTACACTTCTCTTTGGACACATTTTACAAACAGATGGCCTATGGTCAGTAACTAAGGTACATAGCACTGTTATGCTACAGCATGTTATCCCATTAGCACAAAGCCTAAAAGATGTATAGGGACAGAAGGGGAAAGTAATAGATACTTTTAAAAAGCTAAAGCAAAAATACATACACCAAAAGTAAATCCAACTACTCAAAGCAATATATCATTAGTTTTTAGAAGAAACATTTTGGCTACTTGCATGCCTATAATCCCCTCCTGAGGCAGGAGGATTGAAAGTTCAAGGCCTGCTTTGGCAACTTAACAAAGCCCTGTCTCAAAAAAATAAAAAGGGCTAGGGATATGGTTCAGTGATAGAAACCCCTGGGTTCAATCCCTAGTGTCCCCCCTCCCAATTTTTTAAATTAACAAAATGTAAAACATTGATTTAGTGGGTGGGAACCTCAGTTGAACAGCTTGAGAAAACATTCTGAGTTCTAGGGAGGGACTTTGGCACTGAGCAAAAATACTAAAATCCGTATGTCCACATAATGTTCATTGCAGTATAATGTGAAATAATGTTTAAAAGCCAGTAACTTCTTTCCTCTGAGCCACGTTCTCTGAGCTTAAGAATTAAGTCATATTCCTAAACATATGTTTGACCTTATGGAAGAATTTTATATGACTATGCACAGTGAAAATGTATTTGCTTTAGAAATTATTGTAATAATTTGAAGAGTTCCAGCATCACAAAAACTGTTTAATTAAACTTATACTTGTTTCTACATTCCCTGCCTCATGGGGATTTAGAATAATATTTAACATTTTATCTTTCAAGGCACCATACCTATAGTCTAAACTAAAAATTGACAAAGTCTCTTCCAATCAAGGAGTTGTACACATGGGGCGTTTGATCAGGTTGTGGTATTTTTGAGCAAGGTCTACAGCTGTCCGTCCTTGCTGAAAGGGGAAAGACCACAAAATTGAATTCCAATGATTTCCCATTTTCTTAACTCCACAGAAAAGGTAATTTACTTCTTCTTTAGTAAAGTTTTTACGAATTCTTCTTTTTTCTGTAATTAATGAGAATTGTAGAACATATTAGTACTTGGTGAAAAAAAGGAGTCTTCTCGAAACCCAAATGAATGTGTAATTTACTTATGGATATAAACTAGAGTGAGAGTATTTCATGCCTGGGATATTCATCATATGAAAATCCACTTCAATTTTTAAAAATCTGAGGGCCTACTATTTTAAGTGCTATTATTGGTACTTCTTCAATTACTATAACAATTTTTTATAATGATACATGTAACATCTTTCCATCAAGAAACAAAAGGTTATAAAACATTTGGTTAATTCAACATTCCTGTAAGGATAGTTAACAGTTTACCTATCTTAGATACAGTTTTCCCAAAGGACTCCATAAGTTTATAGAATAGAAAACAATATCAATACTTGTTAAATACTAGGTTCGATTGATATTTTTTGAAGAAAAAAATTAAATCCGTTTATTCACAGATGACTTGATTTTTTATAAAATTTATTTCTTTGTTCTAATCAGTTATACACGACAGCAGAACACTCTTCAATTCATTATATACAAATGGAGCAAAATTTTTTGACTTCTCTGGTTGTACCCAAAGTAGGATCACACCATTCGTGCAATCATACATGTACCTAGGGTAATGATGTCCGTCTCATTCCACCATCTTTCCTACTATCTCCATGAACCCTCCTCGCCTCCCCTTTGCCCCATTCAAAATTCCTCCACTCATCCCATGCCCTCCTATTATGGATTAGCATCCACTTATCAGAGGTTTGATTAACATTTTTAAGAATAAGGGTCTTCTGAAATTTATTTTACAAAACATGTTCACTACCAATATGGGTGCTCAGCTTGATCAAAACTCAAAAAGATAGAAACTTCCTTCACCATTATGTGGCCTGACTATCTGGATTAGGGATACTTTCTAAAACAAAGAATCCATAGTTGGTAAACAAATATCTTCTGGTGATGATTACTAGGAAGCAGTATTCTTCAAACCTAATTCATTAGTAACTCATATAATCATAAGTCATGTAATTATTGTAGGTAGATGCTGGAAAGTAGTTTTTTGTTTTGTTTTGCAGTACTGGGGATCAAATCCATAGCCGTGCACAAGCTAGGCAATGCTCTATTACTGAGCTACACCCCCAATCCAAGGAGGAGGTTTTGTATTTCACCTTGAGGCTGCTATCTAGGAGGCACTGGTATCAAAGTGTTGGGTCATCCTTAGAAATTCTTACCCTTGCAGGACAAGACTGTTGGCCATCTATCCACCTTTCTAAGAGCCACAGTTTATACTTTTTAAGACAGAAAAGAACTGGGTGTGGTGGCACATGCCTGTAATCCCAGCTACTCAGGAAACAGGTAGGATATCACAAGTTCAAGGCCCATCTGGACAATTTAGTGAGACCCTTCTTAAAATAAAAATGGCTAGAGAGGGCTTGGGTTGTAGCTCAGTGGTACAGCACTTGTCTAGCATGTGTGAGGCACTGGATTTAATCCTCAGCACCACATAAAAATAAATAAATAAAATAAAGGGAATCTAGCTCAGTAGTAGAGCACCCCTGGGTTCAACCCCCAGTACTACAAAAAGAAAAAAAAAAAAGAAAATTTTACCACAGGCTGAGAAATCAATATAAGTAACAATACTTAATATTATAAATTAAAATCCAAGCTCTATGAAGGCAGAGATTTTTGTTTAGTTTATTTACCACTGCATCCCCAGTGTCTAGAACAGTATCTCAAACATAGTCAGTGATCACTAAATATTTGTTGAGAGTAGAGCTATTTATTTATTTATTTAGAGGCACTAGGGACTGAACTCGGGGGCATTCAACCACTGAGCCACATTCCCAGCACTCTTTTGTATTTCTTTTAGAGACAGGGTTCTCACTGAGTTGCTTAGCATCTTGCTTTTGCTGAGGCTTGCTTTGAATTTGCAATCCGCCTGCCTCAGGCTCCTGAGCTGCTGGGATTACAGGGGTACACCACAGCACCCAGCTCCCTGTCATTTTTGAAACAGGGTCTCACTAAGTTGCTCAGGCTACTCCTGAATTTGCAATCCTCATGCCTCAGCCCCCCAAGTCCCTGAGATTACAGGCATGTGCCACTACCCACAGCTTAGTGCTCTTATTAGAAATCTAAAACAGCAGACCAACTTATCAACTGGTTTTAGCTAAAGTAAGTCTGACCTACAACACAGATACACAGTATTTATAGTGGAATGTTACAGTATTTAGGATAACTCTGTATAATCAATGTATAATTATATCTCTGCCCATTTCATGAGGGTTTACAGATGATTCTTATTTTGTAAAATTTTTAGTTGTTACATGATTGTTGAAAACTTACTATTAATTTGCTGATAAGGGATGGGGTTGTGGCTCAGTTGTAGAATGCTTGCCTAGCACGTGTGAGGCACTGTGGTTGATCCTCAGTACCATGTAAATAAAGTTATTATGTCCATCTACAATTGAAAATGTTTATAAATAATAATAATAATAATAATAATAATAATAATTTGCTGTTGAGTCCTTATCAAGAATAAGATTTTCAAGTGTAAAAAATGTCTTAGGGCTGGGGTTGCTCAGTGGTAGATACTCATCTAGCACATATGAGGCACTAAGTTCAATCCTTAGCACCACATAAAAATGAACTAAAGATATTATGTGTCCACCTACAACTAAAAAAATAATTATTAAAAAAATGTCTTATGAATAAAAATACACATATTCTAAGTGTCTACAGAAAATATGATTTAAAAAAATGGGCTCCTCTATAGTGCTACTATACTTTGGGGGAGGGGCTCTTAACAACTGAGCCACATCTCTAGCCCTTTTTTTTATTTGAGACAGGATCTCACTAAGTTGCTAAGGCTGGCCTTGAGTTGTAATTCTCCTACCTTAGCCTCCTAAATTGCTGGGGTTACAGTTACGTGCTACCAGGCCCACCTTACTACACTAAATTTTATTTAAATGTATAACTTTTAACTTAATAAAAGGCCCATATCTATAAAGTAAATTTGAAATTTCTTTTAAGGTTTTGGCATTGAAAATAGCCAAATAAGTATTATGTGAGGCAAAATGTTACCTAGATGTAAAGTCCAAATGTCTCTGTAATAAGTAATAGTGGTTCTATTGATGTTATTAATCTCCACATTACTTTGACTAGTAATGTACTCAACTACTTATTCTTACTCTGCAGGTACTAGCTTCATATGAAAAGAAGAAAATGGTAATGTTTTTAAATCTCTTTGATATATGTTGAATGGTGATAAACCTGAAACATTAACACTTTAGTTAAAATTTCCATCAATTAACTGTTTAAAGAAGCATTTTGATTTTTAAGTAGGGTAGTAAAGGCTTATGCTATTTGTCTCTTCAATTTTTTTGGTGGGGAGAGTACCAGGGATTGAACTCAGGGTCACTCAATCACTGAGCCACATTCCTAGCCCTGTTTTGCATTTTGTTTGTAGACAGGGTCTCGCTGAGTTGCTGAGCACCTCACCATTGCTGAGGGTGGCTTTGAACTTGCGATCTTCCTGCCTCAGCCTTCTGAGCTGCTGGATTACAAGCGTGCACCACAGCGCTGGGCTGTCTCTTCAATTCTGATCATTTGAAGTGCTATAATTATGAACAAAAACCTTCTGCAAAGTCTCTAAAGCACCTGTACATAGAGCAATTTTGTTCTTAAAAAAGAAATGTGACCTAAAGGATAGAACAAGGGCTTCTGGAGAAAGGCTTGCATTTGAGTCTAAGTTCTGTTATTTACTAACTTATACTATAAGAATTAAAGGAAATAATCTCTATAAAATACCAAATACAGAACAGGTGCTTAATACATATACATTTCCCCCTGCTCATTTCCCAGCTGGCAGGCAGTAGGTTAGCAAACACCATTAAAAAGGGAAAAAGGATGTTTTTTTCTTCAGAGGTATAACCCTCATTAGAGCCCAGGGCTATCATTTAAGAGCCCAACAATGATGAGACTGAGAATAATGACTCAGCTGCTCTCATCTTAGAAATATGCAAAATTTAAGTTTATTTAAAAATTAAATATATTCACTTATTTGTCCAGGAGTAGTAGATTCATTATTGAGTTGCTGTCTTCTGTGTGGGGTCAGAAGAATTTCTGAAAAATATAAAAAACATTTAGCATATGTAGAGTTTCAATCTGAGTAATAGCATATTAATCCATTAGTATATTTCCATTTTCTCTCTTCTAGTAGAAATACTTAGGTGAGCCAAGGAAGAATTTTTAAACCACAAGAGACTATGTCTACTCCCTGGGTACATCTTAAATTACTAGTTGCTTAGACAGATTTTCAACATTATTTTACCATCTAGCTTTTAATATACATACTGCTTTAGATGACACTTTGAAGGTATAGTCATAATTACAGTTTTAAAGCTGCTGGATTAATTACTTTTGTTACAGATAAGTGATTTCCTTAGTTCACTTTTATATCTGTCTTCAGCTTCCACAATGACTTTGTGACGATCACATTGGTATGGGCAAGAGTGCAAGAGCTTGCTAAAATTTCGGCTATTCAGGGGTTTTCCTACTGCTATGCAACCTAAAAGAAAACAAATCAAAGTGATGTACAGATGTTACAAAATATGCACTAACACATCTATGAAAATAAATACGTATATGATTATAACTAAAGTTAAATCAGGAACTATACATATTTCAAGAAACTCCAATTCATGCAAAATAGTAAAGACCACAAATACACTACAATGAAATAAATATTGAGACAGAGGTGTTAACAGACAGTTATACTGATATAGAAAAAGAGCATCTAGTTTGCCAGCTCTGAAGGAAGACATCCAGGAGATGTGATCATTAAAAACAGTTGTCTGTTTTAAACATTTTCTTTCTTACAGAAAATTTTAAACACACGAGATTAAAGGGCAGAGTATAATGAACCCTCATGTATTTATCACCCAACTTCAGTAACTATTAAGCCGTGGCTAATCACATTTTATCTACACCTCCACCTATTCTACTGTCCCCATGTGCACACTGGAATTTGGATTAAAGTATTATTCCATCTGCAAATACTTCGTTTGCATCCCTCATGAATAAGGGCTCTTTTAAACACACACACAATATCATACTCTAATCAGTATTTAAATTTCATCATTTTTTCTTCCTTGCTTCCCAATCATTTCAAAACTTTTTTTAAAAACAACTGGTTGTTGTGGGCTGGGGATGTGGCTCAAGCAGTAACGCGCTCACCTGGCATACTCGGGGCTCTGGGTTCGATGCTCAGCACCACATAAAAATAAAAAAATAAAGATGTTGTGTTCACTGAAAACTGAAAAATAAATATTAAAAAATTCTCTCTTTCTTCTCTCTAAAAAAAAAAAAACACAACAACTGGTTGTCTGAATCATAAATGTATTTATTTGTGGTGCTGGGGGTAAAATCTGGGACCTCACTCCTGCTGAACACGTGCTCTACCAATGAGTTGCTTTTAATTTACCAGTTCTCTCTTCCTTCCGTGTCATTAGTATCAGTTTCCCAAATGCTAGGATATGCCAGTGCATCCTAGTTGTATCCTTTAAAATGTTCTCATGTACTCTATAAACCAGTAATTAGAAGATATAGATGATTGATCAGATTCAAACATTTGGGTATTTTTGCTAGAATTCCTAACAGGTAGTATTGTGTCCCTCTCTGTAATATACTAAAAGGAACATCTTTTTTTTTATGTTAAGATGGAAATTAGAGTCAAGTCATGTCAGCCACATCCATCTACTATGAAGTTATCCATTAGCCTGTCACCTAATTATATTTGTGGCCTATTCCTAAAGGATGAGAAGTTGGAAATGCAGATTTTTGACTGGGGTAGGGGCATTTTGGATATAATAAACATGAACAAAAGCACAAAAGTGTGAAAAAGCATTGTGTGTTCAGAGATTCATAGGTACTCTGATATAGTATAAGAAAAATATTGAAGAGAAGATAAAGCTGGGGAAGTTTGCAAAGAAAGACCAAGAAGGGTTTTGAAAACCCTGCTAAAAAGTTTTTAACTGTCTTCAAGGTAATGGGGAGGAACTGAAAGATATTTATGAGTAAGGAAGAAGACATGATTTCTTTGTCTTTGGAGAAAGGTCATCTGACCCTCAAAGGATCACTTGAGAGGTTACTTTAATAGTCTAGAAAATAAATTAGGGGATTTTGAAACAAGACAGTTTCGGGAAGAATCAAGACATTTCTAATCTAAATTGGCAGAATTTGATGAATAATGAACTGCTGGGCCTGGCACAGTGGCACATGCCTGTAATCCCTGCAATTCTGGAGGCTGAGGCAAGAGGATCTCAAGTTTAGGGTCAGGGAAGCAACTTGGTGAGACCCTCAGTAACTTAGCAAGATCCCATTTCAAAAAATGAAAACAACTCAGGATGTAGCTCAGTGGTAAGGCATCCCTGGGTTCAATCCCCAGAACTAACTAACTAACTATGGGAGTAAAGGAAAACTTTAGAGTAATTCTAAGTAATTCCGTAATTGAATGGTAAAGTTTGGAATGAGCATAGCATATTTCTGGCACTGAAAGCAAGCAAATATTCAGTACAGTTTAGCAAGTGGAAGCAGGACAAAAATCTACACAATTTTGAAAGCCAGGTGGGGGAGCTGATTGTCAGTGAGTTGCAGAGAACTGCTGAGGGTTCTTTAGCATGGTGATAAGATAAAAAACACATATTAAGAAATTAACGGCAATATGGATACTATAGTTGGTGTTTAGAGACATTTGAGAACAAAAGACTGCTAGAAAGTTGCTGAAATAATTTAAGCATGAAGCCAAAAGTCCCATGTAGGAAAGAATAAAGAACCAAATTTGATAGACTTAGAAATTGGCTGGACTGGTGATGAGATCAGTGGTAGAATGCTTACCTAGCATGTGTGAGGCCCTGGGTTCAAGCCCCAGTACTAGGGGAAAAAAAAAATCCAGAAATTGGGAAATGAGAAAGAACAGTCATAGATGATTCAAGGGTTATAGTCTGGGAGACCTGAAGAATAGTAACAATATTGACAGAAACTGAGTTGCTGGGGGTAACTTTAAGAGGAAGAAAGATGTTTAGGATACATTAAGCTTGAAGTGGTATGTCCCAGATACAACTCAAAGTGGAAGAATATGCTATAAACCAAGGTAGAAGTTAAAACTTTATTTATTTATTCTTTGTACTGGGGATTGAACTCAGGGGGTGTGTTTAATCACTGAGCCACATCCCCTGCCTTTTTTTTGAGACAGTGTCTCACTAAGTTGCTTAGAGCCTCACTAATTCGCTGAGGCTGGCCTCAAACTTGTGATCCTGTCTCAGCTACCCAAGTCACAGGAATTACAGGCGTGCACTACCGTATCTGGCTAGAAGTCAAATATCTTTCTTTTCTTTTTTTTGCAGTGCTGGGGATCGAACTCAGAGCCTTGTGCATACAAGGCAAGCATCTTATCAACTGAGCTATATCCCCAGCCCTTAGAAGCCAAATATCTTGACTCAAATTTGAAAATAATCATTAAAGGGCTGGGGACACTGACCACTGGTCATGCTTGCCTAATGTGTGCAAGGCCCTGGGGTTACAACATAATATCACACACAAAAATAAAATTAATTAAATATAATTTCTTAAAAAGAAAAATCAGTAAAATGAGACATGATAGAACAAAAGTCATAGAGTTAAGCAAGTATTACAGATCATGCCTTAGGAGAACACCTACAGAAATTTGGCAGTAAGAAAAAAAGCAATAAGAACCAACTTCTGTACATCTTTTATCCTAGTATCTGCCACATAATGTTTGTTGAAATGAATAATGGTCACTAGGGAGGAAACAACCAGGAAAAAACATCTCTCAAACTAAGGGATGAAAGAAATGGGGTTAATAGTTACAGAGCATTCGCTCCACCAAATAGATACTTCTGATCAGAGGTTCTTGGTTCATGACTTACCAGCCATTTGAAAAAAATAATACAACTAAATTGAAAGAAAACTATAATTTGTATTTTATTCTTATGAATTACACTTATTATGGACAGCATAACTTCTCAAACACTGGAGTAAATTAATGATTCAATAACTTTCATTCCTGTTCCACATTGATTTTCTTTTTTTTTTTAGAGAGGGGGAGGATTTTTTTAACATTTATTTTTCAGTGGACCCAACATCTTTATTTTATTTTATGTGGTTCTGAGGATCAAACCCAGTGCCCCGCGCATGCCAGGTGAACATGTTACCACTTGAGCCACATCCCCAGCCCTCCGCATTGATTTTCATGTGGTGTTTGCTTTTCATGACAACAACCTCTAAAAACCTAGCTTCGTATGGTATTATGATACCAGGCATATAAGCATGTGCCTATAGTCCAAAACTACTGAGAAAGCTGAAGCAGAAGGATCACTGGAGCCTAGGAGTTCAAGCCCAGCCTGGGCAATATAAAAGATCCTATGGCACACATCTATGATCCTAGCAACTTGATAGGCTAAGGCAAGAGGATCCCAAGTTGGAGGCCATCATGAGCAACTTGGTGACACCCTGTCTCAAAATAAGAAATAAAAATTAAAAGGGCTGGGGGTATAACTCAGTGACAGAGTGCTCTTGAATTCAATCCCCAGTTGTGGGGTAGGGCCAGGGAGAGACTTGGCATCCTCAAGAGGAATGTGACACAATCTAATGTTGAAACTATGAACTACCTTGAGTTAGGAGTTCATGAGTTGTCCATCAAATGTTGATTATTGTTGTTATATTTCCCTTATTAAGTCAAAAATATTGTGTAGTACTCTTGTGAGTTCATTACAGAGCTCCAGGGAGCCTGGGTGGAAAATTTTGGAAAAACTTTGGAAAAAAAATTTTAGACTCCTGAGAAGAAATTTAAAGGAATAGTAGTTAACAATGTGGAGATACTAAAGTAGATAAGAATTTATTTTTTAAAATCACAGGTTTTAGGGGGGAAAAAGGTTTCAGATAAGCTTTAACATTTAAAATTCAGGAGAAAGAAGGAAAAAAGATCCAGGTTTCAGAGAGTTAAGAAGGGAATAAATACTTGAAAGCAGCAAGAGAAGAATCTTGCAATAAACAGTGGAAAGAAAAGTGAGTGGATGAATGCTTTTTAGGGTATAGGGAATCACACAAAGTATTTGGACTTTTTAAGATAAGGGAAAATAAGCATAGTTTAAATGGCCCAAATAAAGTTACTGGATAGAAAGGAACTGACGAGAAAGATTTTATAATTATTAGAATGGGAAGAAAAGATGATCAGGATTTAGAGTATGGCTAGCCATCAGCATTAGCATAACAGAGGTAAATATCTTCATCCGAAATAGAAGAATAGTGATGTTCTGAGCTGAACCTCAATTTTCTTCATAGAGCAGATGGGCGCAGTAAATGTGAACAAAGAGAAAATACTGGAGTGTGAAGGAAAGAAGGAATGGATAAGTACTGTGGAACATTTTCAGAAAAATAATAATGGGGCATGGGACAGTAGAAACATTAATGTATTTATTATAAATATAAAAATAGGCATTGTTTAATTCTTAATATCTATAATGTTTACAGCATAATCCAGAATACATACATATTTGCTCTCTGAAGACAAAACTGTTTTGCTCAATCAAGTTAAATTTAAAGATGATATTGTGACAAGACAGTAAAAAAGTTATAAAGAGGTATTAACTGCATTGTTTTGTGTAAACAAATGTTGGGAGCTCAGCATGATATAGGTAATAGAGTATTAATTTGAATGTTTGATGCTCCAGATTGTCATTTATCCAAAGGAAATGAAGTTTAAGTCACAAAGGTAGAACTATTATAAATTCTAGTTATTATTTAATATCATATAATGCTTCAGTTATAAAATAATTACAATTAAAAAATACTTACCTGAACACCTATACTTCAATATTTTGGAACAATTTTCAGTTGCTTGAAAACTGACAACTTCCTTATTTATTATGTCTGAACATAATACAAATGGATCTGTAAAAAATTATAAAATGCATGATTTTTTGATACATGAAAATTTATAAGATTTACTAAATCTCAGGATTTTCATAACTTTATCTCAGTACTATAGAACCAGTCATCTTGGTTGGATTAACAGAAAGATTATGGATGTCAATAAAAGATTTCTCAGGCATTTACATCAGAACGGTAAAGGTGTGGCCTATAGTTCATAGGGCAGACATACCAATGTAAATTTTTAGCTATATCCATCACCTAAATATCTGTTTTCTTGAAAAACAAGAAACATTTTAAAACATACCTGTTACTGGTAACTGCTGCTTTCTATTTTTTACAGTATGAGTAGGATGTTTAAAAAAACTGTCACTAAAAGAAAATAGATAAGAGATCATTAAAAATAAAGGTAACTGTTTGGTGGTCAAATATTTCTGTAAGCAGTGACGTGATTCTGGGTGTTGGGCAAGCAGGAGTATGGAGCCAGGATCTACCAAAATATACTATGCTATGCTCTGGATATTGAATGTCCCCAAAAGTGTATGTGTTATAAGCTTAGTCTCCAGATTGGCATTATTAGGAGGTGCTATGGATCTTTGAGTAAGGGACTTGTAGAACGTCCTTAGGTCAATTGGTGTGTACCTTTGAAGGGGACTACGGGACCCAAGCCCATCCTCTTTATTTTGTGGCTCATGCGGTGTGGTCTATTCTACCAGGTGATCCCACCATAATATGCTGCCCTTGCCAAAGGACCAAAGCAATAGGTACTTCATTCCCCTACCATTTTAGATTTTGTAACCTCTAAAACCATGAGCCAAAATAAATCTTTTCTAAGTTAATTGCCTTAGTTGTTTTGTAGTAGCAACAAAAAGCTAATACTTCTGCCAAAGTAGGATCTGCAACAGTCATAGCCTTGTTTTTAGAAATGAAGTTAAACAAGACTTCCTTCAGAGGGCCAATAGTATTGATGTCAGCAGAAACAAAGAATAAGATTATGAAAAGAAGGAAGAAAGGAAGGAGGGCACAAAAGGAGAGAACAAAATTAGCGAGAGTGAAAAAAAGGAATAGCAAAGTATATTAAAAATAATCATTTAAGGACCTGAATTTAAAAATTCTGGGGCGGGGATGTTGGGGTTGTGGCTCAGCGGTAGAGCGCTCACTGAGCATGTGGGAGGCCCTGGGTTCGATCCTCAGCACCACATAAAAATAAATAAAAGTATTGATAACTACAACTAAAAAATAAACATTTAAACAAAATTATTCCTGACTGCCAAAACATTTGTGTCAGTGACGAATAAATCCTTAATGAATAAATATAAGTTTTGACTATACTCTCACAATAACAATACCAAAAAGGTCAAGAGTAGATAGAAGACAGATGAAGCAAGAGTACCACTATAATATCTATTACATGTATTTGTAGAAAGTACTATACAGGAGGGGAAGTGTAAACATTAGTAACTCAGCTGACATTAATACTATAGCATTAATAACACAGCTGAGGTAGAAACACAGTCAACCCTAAAGGAAGAAGAAGGGTATGGGTAGAAGGTTTGGGCCAGAGGGCAAGAATTGGCCTCAAAATATATCTCACTGCTTTGAAATTCCACATCCTAAAAAATCAAATTAAAACTAACATTGGCTGTGGCTCAGTGATGAAACACCTTTTGGTTCAATCCCTGATACCAAAAACAAAAAAACAATAATAAAACTAACATCAAGAGTAGTTTTTTTGTTAGTTTGCTTTTGTTTTTTGGTACTGAGGCTTGAACCCAGGGGCACTTTACCAGGGAGCTACTTCCCTAACCCCTATTTATTTATTTTTGTTTTGGTACCAGGTACTGAACCCAGGGGACTTAACCAATGAGCCACATTCCCAGCTCCTTTTTATTTTTTATTCAGAGACAGGGTCTCATTAAGTTGCTTAGGGCCTCGCTAAATTGCTGAGGCTGGCTTTGAACTTGGAATTATCCTGCCTTAGCCTCCCAAGTTGCTGGGATTAAGGTATGTGCCACTGCACCTGGCTCTTTTTAATTTTTATTGAGACAGGAGCTCAGTAAATTGCTGAGGCTGGCCTCAAACTTGTGACTCTCCTGCCTCAGCCTCCAGAGTCACTGAGATTATAGGCATGTGCCACCATGCCCAAAGGGAGTGGTTATGGTGTAATTCATCTTCCTGATACTTGTTTTATCCTGCAACCTGCCCAAACCACAACTTCTTCATCTTCTTAAGCACAGAAACCATCAGAAGAGGACAATACAAAAGGGTTTAAGAAGAAAAGCTACAATTCTAGGCTAAACTTTGAGGGAGAAAGGGTATGTATTGGAAATGAAGTATGGGAAACAAAAGGGCAATGCCAAACTAGATTTTCACCACAGCCTATTCCCTTTATCATACTGTTACAAACTGTTTTTCTGCCACATTGCCAGCAGATATGCTTGCACTAATACTTTGAGTAGATTGCCTCATTTAGGTTTTCTTTTATTAGCATACTTTCTAAAATTTCAATCTGATTATGTCACTCAATGGCTTCTAATACCTTATCAGTTAAAATCAAAAATCTTGAGTATGACATGCAAGGTGCTACATGAATTGGCCCACCTCCTCATCCAATCTCTTTTGCCAAAATTTCCTGTTTTATGATCCTCCCAAGACCATGTTTTCTCATTTGTATATCCCCAATATTTAACAGTGTGGCACAGAGTAGCGCATAATAAATGTCGGCTGAATAAATGTTACAATTATTAAACTATACCTTGATTGAGAAATAGAATTCTTTTTATCAAAAGTCATTTCTTCACATATGTTTTGATTGCAGCTTGAATTAGCTTTACATAAAGTCTTATTTTGCCAACTTTCCCTATAGCAAGCATTAACTGGATTAGTATTCTTTAAGAGTGTCTTCATTTGGTCATCATTTGCACAAGGTTTAGACATCACTCCACAGGATTTATAACTCTGGAGCTGTCTAGACTGGCTTTTATTCACATCTTCTGCTTTGGTGCCTCCAATCTTATCTGCATGGAGATGTTTCAATGTATTCTGAATATTTATGTTCATAGATGAAATATTACTCTTATACTTTCCTCTTGGTATTTTTTCCTATAATGTAAAAATGACAAGAGTTTTTAAATAATCAATTTTTATAATCCACTTTACATTTCCTTTAAATAATGTAGAGAAAGTTCGTAATTGTCAACAGAACATATATGATAAAAGGAACAATTTATATTAGGAGAAAAAAGGAATTTTTTTTCAATAAATGACAACTGGGGAGACATCTGGAAAAAATATAGATATCTCACAGTCTACATAAAAATAGGTAAAAATGAACTTTTAAATTTAAAAAATAAAATCATGTATGTTCTAAAAGAAACTATGATATTTCAATATTATTAAGGGGTGAAGATCTTTCCCAGCACCACACAAAATCAATAAATCATAACACAAGAAAACTAATATGCTTATCACATAATTTACTTTATCAATACTGAAGATTGAACACTCAGGGCCTCACACCTGGTAGGTAAGTGTTCTGCCTCTTAGCTACATCCACAAACCTTTTTTAAATTTGAGACAGAGTCTTATTAAGTTGCTGAGGCTGGTCTGGAACTTGAGATCCTCTTGTCTCAGTCTCCCAAGTAACTGAGATCACAGGCATGTGCCACCACACCTGGCATCATTAAAGAAAATTTTTTTGAAAGCTCTCTCAGAACCATGAACAATGAGGAGTGAGGGAGTCACAAAGGAAAAAAGGCCAGAAGCAAAACCATGGCAATCAAATTTTTTCTTGATACTGGAGCCTCAGCCTCGGAGCCATTAGGATAAATAGGTGTGTGCTACTATGTCCCACCCAATGGCAATAAAAAAACACCAGGAAATAATATTGGTCAAGCTATTATAATGAAATATTAAAAAGATCAATGGTAGTATAGAAAAGTAGGTAAATGGTATATAGGGAAGCAGCAAAGATGAGACTTGAATATAAACTACGACAAGATCATGGAGAATCATAAGAGGAGAATCTGCAAAGATGGTTTAGCATCACTGAAATTAAATGAAACTGGACCGGGGTTGTAGCTCAGCGGTAGAGGGCTTACCTAGCATGTGCGAGGCCTTGGGTTCGATTCTCAGCACCACATAAAAATAAATAAAATAAAGCTGTTATGTCCAACTATAACTAAAAAATAAATATTTTATAAAAAGAAACTGGATTTGAATCCTCCCCCCAAATAAAACACAATAAAATGAAATAGCAAAGTAGGGAAAAGAAATGAACAGATAGTTCATAGGATAGGAAACATGTATCTCCTTAAACACATGAAAAAATTCTCCATCCCACTTGTAATGATAAATTAATACTAAACCTACATTCAGGTATCTTCCTCATCTAGTAAAGATTAAAAGATTATGGAGAGGGCTGGGGATGTGGCTCAAGCGGTAGCGCGCTTGCCTGGCATGCGTGCGGCCAGGGTTCGATCCTCAGCACCACATACACACAAAGATGTTGTGTCCGCCGATAACTAAAAAATAAATATTAAAATTCTCTCTCTCTCTCTCTCTCTCTCTCTCTCTCTCTCTTAAAAAAAAAAGAGTATGGAGAAACATACTCATGAACACTACTGGTAAGAGTATTAACTGTTATAACTTCTATGAAGAAATAATTTGACAAAAATTTTCATAATAAAAATTGCCTATTTGTACAAAAAATTCTATAGATTTCTTTTACACATGTATGTTATGTTATTAACTACAACAATATTTGTAACAGCTAAAAGTTGGAAAGAACCTTAATATGTCACAAGGACTGCCAGTAAATCTAGTCAACAGAATATAAAATAACAGATTTTTAAAGAAAGATGAATTGAACATCTATATTTGATTGTGGACCTCTTAAAAAATCATTAAAACAACCATTTTTATAAAGGCATAAACCCACAAGAGCAAGGAGCAATGGAAGAAGAAATAAAGGCAACAAAAATATCAAGACTAGCTGGGCATTATATGCCTGTAATACCAGTGGCTTGGGAGGCTAAGGCAGGAGGATCTGGAATCCAAAGCCAGCCTCAGCAAAAGTGATGTGTTAAGCAACTCAATGAGACCTTGTCTCTAAATGAAATACAAAATAGGACTGGGGATGTGGCCCAGTGGTCGAGTGCCTCTGAGTTCAATCCCTGGTCATCCCATCCAAAAAAAATTCAAAACTAGAAAGCAGATACATAAGTGACAATCTACTCAGCAAATCTGGTAAAGCTGAATCCAAAGTTGATGAAGGGAAAATCCAAGAAACTAAGATAAACCACCAAACCCTCAAAAGACTTATGAATTATAACTACCAAGAAACTCTACAAGGTGGGATGTGAAGGCAGAGTTAAAACAAGAGTGGAGCTGGGTGTGGTTCTGCCTGTGATTTCAGTGAGTTGGGGGTGAGGACTAAGGCAAATGGATAATCTGAGGTCAGCCTCAGCAATTTAGGGAGATCCTCAGAAACTTACCAAAACCCTGAGTCAAAGTAAAAAGTAAAAAGGACTAGGGATGCAGAACAATGGTAACAAGCATCGCTGGGTTCAATGCCCAGTATCCACCCATACACACATACATACACATGCACATACATAATTATAAAAATAAAACAAGATTGGATGAAAGTCTTTAAAAAGCAGGTGGGCCAGGCATGGTGGTACATGCCTATAATCCTAGTGATAGTGACTTGAGAGGATGAGACAGAAGGACCACAAGTTGGAGGCCAGCCTCAGCAACTTAAGCCCTAAGCAACTTAGCAAAACCCTACCTCAAAAAAAAAAAAAAAAAATCAATAAAAAGAGCTGTAGGTATAGTTCAGTGGTAAAGCACCCCTGGGTTCAATCAAGCAGGTAAAGAGCAGTTTTTTGGGGAACTACTGATCCTAACTCCTAACAGGGGGTCATCCTTCTTCTGCTTCTTTCCCAAGGCTGGCAGTTTAGTCAGGGGGCTAAAACTTAATCTCTGCACTGAAGTGCACTAAGCAAAGCTGAAGGCAAAATGCTAGTCAAGAATTAAGACTCAGTAAATATTACATACTGTATAATAGGACACCCACACTCTCTTCTTCCATTTTGACTCCAAAATACTCACTGCCAATCTCTAGGCAGGAGATTGGGCACTGGAGGTTCTCCAAAAACAAATAACAATGAAATAGACTCACTGAATGAATCCTCAATCAACATACTTTTAAGGAGACTTTTAGTATCTTACTCTTAAATATAAGCCACAACCTAAAACCACCAGAAATACAAATAAAAATGCCAAAGGAGAAAAAAAAAACCTTTAAAAATGAAAACTAACCTTAATATAGCTAAGAAAAATCTGGCAATTTAAATGAAGACTTAAATCCATGATTCTTTTAATGGAGGTAAAAAAGAAACTTGGTAATTAAAAATATAACAGAAGTAAAAAATCTAATAGGTTAATTTAGAAAATAAGTGTGAGAACTTTTCCCAGATACACAACAAAAAGATAAAGTGAGGGAAAATAAGAGAAATGAAAAGGAAAACCAATTTTGCAAGTCCAACTGCTTCAAAAAAGAAGTTTAAAGAAAATGAAGGAAGTACGTAGCATCACAGACCAATGTAAAATTTTCCCTCATATTAAAGAACATAATTCTCCAGATTAAAAGATCCCACTAAGTATATAGCATAACAGATGAGATTGATATCCATTTTTTAAAATATTTTTAGTTGTAGTTGGACATAACAATTTTATTTATTTACTTATTTATTTTACTGAGCATCGAACCCAGTGCCTCACACAAGCAATCTACCACTGAGCCACTTTTGCACAACACATCACTCATGCTTATGGTGATGCCAGTGTAAATAAATCTATTGTACTACTAGTTATATAAAAACAAAAGTACATAATATTTGATAACAATGTTGCTGGTTTACATATTTATTTATCATACTTTTTAATCATTATTTTAGAATGTTATTCCTTCTACTTAAAAAAAAAAAAAGGTCAGACATGGTGGCTCACACCTATAATCCCAGGTACTTGGGAGGCTGAGGCATTAAAAATGGTAAAAGAGAGGCCAGCCTGGATAATATAGTGTGACCCAGTCTCAAAAATTACAAAAAAAACCCCCACAAATCTTGTATTTTTTTTTTAAATAATACTGGAGATTGAACCCAGGGGCTCTCTACCACTGAGAGACATTCCCATCCCTTTTTACTTTTTATTTTGATACAGAATAAAAAATTCTATGTTACCCAGGCTATTCTCCATCTTGTAATCCTCCTGCCTTAGCCTCCTGAGTTGCCAGGATTACAGACATGGTATCACCACACCTAGTAAAAACAAGTTTACTATAAAACAGTATGCTCTTTTAGGCTGGCAGCAGCCCCACACAAACTCAAGTTTATTGTATCTCTTGACTGCATCAAGAGATCATGTTGAGTGAATGACCTACACCATCTCAGTTTCTGTAATTATACTCTATGATGTTCACACAATGCTGACACTGCCTAACTACACATTTTTCAAAACATATCCCTGTGAAGGTACATTGTATGTGTATGTGAATGGGGGTAAATTATTTGACTGATTTTTTTCTTTCTCAAACTCCTATAATTCAGATGTTAGATTTGTTGCCTCTTTCTTCAATATCTCTTAACTTTTAGTCATAATTTCTGCTTTTTTTTTTCTATCGAGGACTGAATCCAGGGGACTTGACTTTACTAAGCCACATTCCTAGTCCTTATTTTATCTTGAGACAGGTTCTAAGTTGCCAACGGTGGCCTCAAACTTGTGATCCTTCTTTCTCAGCCTCACAAGTTGTTGGGATTACAGGCATATGCTAAGGCACCTTGTATCATTTCTACTTTTTAAAAATATCTTTTGTTCTGTATCCAAGGATGATTCCTCAATTATTACTATTAATTTTTATTTTTTTTTGGTGGTGCTGCGAATTGAACCCAGGGCTTTGTGCATATAAGGCAGGCACTCTACCAAATGAGCTATATCCCAAACCCCCTACAATTAAATTTTACATTTAAAGTCATTAAAATATTTTTTAGACTTGGGAAGAAAAAAATTTTTACTCTCCAACTCTGTTAAAAAATATATGGAAAAACTTCTATATTCTTGGAAACAAACAAAAAAAAAATCCAACCTCATTTCCTTCTCTTTCAAGCTGTTCTATTCTGTATAGAATTTCCTTTGCTCTCTTCCAGTGCTCTTCAAGATTCTTCTCTTTCACATTTATGTCCTTTAATTGTTCTGCTTCATCTCCATCAAAAGAATACTCTCCTAGACTTAGAGATAATTTCTCAGCTTCATAATAATGGGGGGAAAATGATGAATTTATCCATTACCAGTAACTGTAACACTTAAAGGATAACCACCTGCCCCATTCCACCCCTTCTGTAAATTTTGTCCATTCAGACTACTGTAAGTACTCAACCGATACTGAAAATAAATATAAGATAAGAGTGTCTGGCAGAGGCCCAGAACTCAAACGGTCATAAATTAAGCAGAATTACAGGAAAAAGAAGAACATGAAAATATGTTATTCCAGGTACAATAAATACCTACTGGTTTTAAAGTAGTTTTTTTTAGTACTGGAGATCAAACCCAGGGTCCCATATAGGTTAAGCACGTTACTAACTAAGCTACCTCTCCAATCCCCAAATAGTTACTTTTAAAACAGTGTTCACGATGTTGTTCCTTCATATAAACTTTAAAATCCTTTCTTCACATCTTATATACAGTTTTTCTTCTACAAGGACAATAATCCTTATCATGGCTATTGGCTTCTATGCTCCAGCCACATGGTCATCAATTCCTTCAACATACTAGCTTCCCTCCTACCACAGGGCCTGTGTGCCTGTTGCTTGGGATGAGAGACTTGCCCATAACAAATTCCCTTCTTTTTTACCTAATTAACTCTAGATAATCAGATCTCAGATGAAGAATCACCTTCTCCAAAGCCTTTCTGCTTCAAGTCCTGGTCAGATTTCTTTCTTAAAGGCTATCAAATATCCGCTGTCCACCCCTTCATAACCCTATGTCAATTTATAGTAATATATAATCCCATTGGATAGATTATTCAATTACTGTCTATTCCTCTAATTAAGTTCTATGAGTACAAGGTTATATATTTTCTTATACTGTATCCCTAATATCTAGCACATAATAGAAACTCAAAAATATTTTTTAAAATAAATGAATATAATTTTTATTAGGACTTAAATTTAAGAAACTAGTGTGATTATCACTTAAGTCCTACAAACTAAATTTGTTATGTTATATAAAGTAAGTGAATTATGTCTATTGCTGCTCTCTATATGTTCTCTTACATATAGGTTTGTATATGCTGAAAATACCTTGGTTATCACAACCAAATTATATACTCTGCTTTGCAAGTACAAGAGGAACCTGGAAGCTAATAGGGCTTGGCTTATTAAAGCATGTACAACTCCCCCTTTATAAACTTTGGTTGGTACCCTCTTATAGCAATAGTAAACTTACTAATTTTTTTGCAGTTGTGAAGTACAAAAGTGGCAGCTTTGTTTAGTTCCTCATTCTGAGATTCTGTTAAGGCTTGTATCATGAGTGGAAGCCCATTGTTTTTAAAAAGGTCATACTGATTTTCCTCTGGAAAATATATAAAAAATTAAAACAAGACAATTATTTTATCAAAAAACTAAATGCACAGATCATAATCCTTCTTTTGGTATCAGGGATTGAACCCAGGGTTGCTTAACCACTGAGCCACATTCCTAGCCGCCACCCCATCTTTTTTTACATTTGGAGGTAGGGTCTCATTAAGTTGCTTAGGGGCTCACTAAATTGTTGGGGCTGGCTTTGAACTTGTGACCCTTCTGCATTAACCTCCCAAGCTGCTGTGATTACAAGTGTGTGCCAAAATAGTTACAATTTTTAAAAGTAGATTAAAATTCAATTTTAAAAGTATTTTCAATTTAGGAAATAATTCGCTTATACAAAAAGCCTGACTCATGAGTGATGATTTCTGAAATGCAGCCACAGAGTAGTATCATACCTCAGAAAAGTAAACTGTCTTCATTTTGGATTAAAGAAAAGTAGAGTTGGTACTAATTACAGAGAGGCTAACAGAAAGAATAGAGAAATGGATAGAGAAGAAGAATGAGTAGAAAAAGCAAGAGGAGAAAGACAGAGAAGAGTAGAAAAGTGGAAAGGGGTAAGAGGAGGAAGATTTGAAGAGAGTGAGAGAAATAGAAGTGGATAGGGTTGGAAAGAAAGAATAGACTGGAGAGAGGATATTAATAATAGGATGAAAGTGGAGAAAGGGAGGAAAATGGAAGGGGAAGAAGAAAGGGAATAGACAGGATAGAGTAACAGGTAGCAGAAGAAAGAACCTGCAAAGGTTTTCAACAAGTAATATAGGATCAAATTTGTGCAGCAATGTGAAAAGGGGACTGAAAATGGAGTTAGGGAAACTAGGTGTGGTATGCAGGCCTATAATCCCAGCTATCCCAGAGACTAAGGCAATAGGATCAAGTTCAAGGTGAGCCTGGGAAACTTAGCAAGACCCTATCTCAAAATAAAATTTAAAAGGGCTGGGGATATAGCTCAGTGGTATAGCGACTGGCATCAATCTCCAGTACTTAAAAAAAAAGAAGAAGAAAAGGAGCACAGGGAGGTAGCTACTGTGTGAAAGATGTTGAAGAGATGCAGTCCTAAATTAGGAGGGTAGCACTACTGGTGATTTACAGAAAGAGATAAGAAGGGAAAAGAAAAGTAGAACCACAGGTCTCGGTGAATGACTGAATATAATGTCTGAAGGAAGATGAAGAACTAAAATGATTAGAGATCTTAATGACTGGGAGAAAGGCAATAATTTGTTTATTTGCCATATTTATATTTGTGGATTGAGCCCAGGACTTTGTGCATGCTAGGCAAGCATTCTATCACCAAGGTACATCCCAGTCCCTTTTATTTTTTAGTTTGAGACAGGGCCTCATTAAGTTGCTCAGATGCCTCAACTTCCTGGAATTATAAACCTATACCACCACCACACTCAGCAAAAGGCAATATTTTAAGCTTTTCCTATGACTAGTGGGGGGAAACACCAGTGTATTTCCACTGTTTTAATAGCACACTAGGCTGGGGATGTGGCTCAAGCGGTAGCGCGCTCGTCTGGCATGCGTGCGGCCCGGGTTTGATCCTCAGAACCACATATAAACAAAGATGTTGTGTCCGCCGAAAACTAAAAAATAAATATTAAAAAATTCTCTCTCTCTCTCTCTCAAAAAAATAGCACACTAATTCAATACTTACCACAATACTCTGTGCAATGACCAAGAGCAAGTATAATGCTAAATTTTTCTCCTGAATCCAGACTTTCATTGGACAGTAATGTCAAAAGTTTGGAAACGATGTGGTATTTGGATAGTACTACTCCAAAAGCAGCTATTAGTATAAAATAAGAGAAAAAAAAGTAAGTACAAACTTAAAACTTAGAAATATACATATGATACTTCTTTTTACATATGCTATGTTTTGAAGAGTTTATCCAGGAAGAATATTGTATCTATACAATATCTAAAATATATATAAATATCTAATATATATGTATAAATTTAGTTATACATATATCATATGTATACATATAACTGAATTCACTGTAATAAGATGATGATTTGCTGTAATAGTCTTCATTAATCCTTCTAAAGCAAATTTTTTGAAGAATGGTTTCTTCTTAATTATTCTGCATAATGTTGCATGTACATTCTGCTTTCCTAAAAGCTGAATATGCCCATTGTCACCTGACATATCGCCTCTTATGTTCATTGGACAATAAAGACAATCTCATCTAATCCTATCCTAACATTGAAATATTCTCTTAACTGACCAAAGTTCTAGTGATGTTAATGATGTAATGAAGCATATGTGAATCTGTACTGAAGAAATGACAAAATTCAAAAGTCTACTTAAGTTATACTTCTCTCATGGGAATTTTAATAAGGTTCACCCAGAGTCTAACAATACTGGTATAGACAAGAATGCTGGGAATTCCTTAAGGGACTATATTTTAATCCTTTTATCTCTTTGGAGCTCAAAATATACAGGCATTCAATAACTTCTTTTTAAAAGACCATCTACATTTTTTTGGTTCTCTCTGAATGACAATAGAGTTTCTTATTACAAAGCTATACAGAAATCATTCCTCAGTGGGTTTTGTGTGTGTGTTTGGTACTGGGAATTGAATTGTGGGGTGGTCTATCACTGAGTTATACCCTTATCCCTTTTTATTTTGAGACAGTGTCTTACTAAGTTGCTGAGGCTGGCTTCAAAATTGCAATTCTCTTGCCTCAGCCTTATGAGTAGCTGGGATTACAGGTTTGTGCTGCCACACCTAGCAATGCCTTGCTGTCTGTACAAATGAGAAGCAGTCATGTGTACAAGTCTGGCTCTTCTACTAGCTATGGAGTGTTGGGTAAGTCAGGCCAACTATTCATTAGAAAAAGGCATTCTTAATTCTTTATACAATTCTTAAAAATCTATAAATTGGGGGGCTGGGGTTGTGGCTCAGTGTAGAGCACCTGTCTAACATGTGTGAGGCACTGGTTCAATTCTCAGCACCACACATAAATAAATAAAGGTCCATCAACAGGGCTGGGGATGTGGCTCAAGCGGTAGTGCGCTTGCCTGGCATGCGTGCGGCCTGGGTTCAATCCTCAGCACCACATACAAAGATGTTGTATCTGCCGAAAAACTAAAAAATAAATATTAAAAAATTCTCTCTCTTAAAAAAAAAAGGTCCATCAACAACTAATAAAATATTGTTTAAAAAACTATAAATTGAGTTTTCCATTCCTTATGTCACAAAAATGGCCCTTGATTTCTCATCTAAAATATTTAATGCTGATTTTTTTCAGTGAAATAAAGGTTTAGGAATGATAGGATCTTCTTTTTTGTTAATATTAGTTGTTGGACATTTATTTATTTATTTATATGAGGCGCTGAGAATCTAACCAAGTGCCTCAAATATGCCAGGCAACCACTGTACCACTGAGCCACAATCCTAGCCCAGGATCTTCTTTTGATTCTATCATTAGGCTTGAAGTCAGAGACCTATATGAATTCTTAGTGAAATCGTAATTTGCATGGGAAAATAAAGTATTAGACTAGATAATTTCTAAGATTCCTTTCCACTTGTGAGAAGCTGGAAGCCTAATCCATGTTAGTGTTTAATCTCCCATTTCAACCCTCACCATGCTAAATTCTAACAAAATTTAATTGTAGAAAACTTACTAAGCATTTTTACTTACGATTATCAGCAATACATGCATCCACTGTCTTTGTCACCACCACTGCAAGTTTAGCACTGGAAAGAGCCTTGTGAGAATCAGATTCCAGTTGTACAAGAACTTGGGACAATACATCCAGTCCACCCACAGATATAAAGTATTTCTGAACATATGCTTAAGGAATAAAGTAGCAGAACTATTAATATCTTAAACAAAACATGTGGTTTCATTCAATTAATTTGTACAACATTAACTTGACTTTTCAAATACTTACTAAAAATTTCCAAGAATTAAACATCTAGTCTTTACCTGTGCATATACATAATCATATGATAAATTACTTATTTATGCAAGCACTTCACTTTGACATAGTACAAACACGTGTATTGTACAATATTGCTTTCTTCTGTGTAAAAAGTTTTTCATTTCATTTAGTAATAACTGTTGTATTTTGTAAGAAAGACATTATTAAACTATCCTTCAACGGTATTAAACAAGCCTTTCAATAGAGCTCTAAGGAACAGACTTAATAATTTAGCTTAGAATAAAAAATAGCAAGAGACCATTTTCTGAAATTCCAACATAACACAATTCCTTTGCAGATTGCTCAAATCTACAAAGGGCAAAGTATTTAACTGTTCCAAAACCATATCTCATCCATCTTATAAACAAAACTTTTTTAACTTCTTGGAGCATAAAACTATGTTACTGAGCTATAACAACTATTCTAGACAAAAGTTCAATGACACATACATATTTTTAAGTTTAAAGTCCATTTTTTCCCTGTTGCAAATGATTCTGAAGGGGAAATATCCCCGGGGGGGTTTATGGATTCAATAGTCTCCATAGCCCCTATCCCAAAAACAGACTTAAAACAAATGGATATAATTCTGTCACAAATCTTTTTTCCAGTTTAGCCTAGTTCCATAAAATAAAGCCAAGATGATTTAAAGCAAAAAATAATTTTTGTATTGTTTAATGTAATAGAATATTAATCTAAAAATATTACATCCAGAATTTTCTACATCTGAGAAAGAAACTCTAAGGAAATATTATTTAAGGACAAGCAAGCATTTTCAATATCATAGAGACTCCAAAACAGCTTAAAGAGTTTTTTTTTTTTTTTTTTTTTTGTACATGCATGTGCATGGCTTAAAGAGTATTTTTAACTTAAAAACTTTTTCAAAGAGTAAATTCTAGCCGGGTGCGGTGGTACATGCCTGAAATCCCAGTAATTCAGACGCTGAGTTAGGAGGATGACAAGTTTGAGGTCAGTGTCAGCAAATTAGTGAGGTTCTAAGCAACTAATGAAACTCTGTCTCAAAATAAAAAATAAAAAGGCCTGAGGATGTAGCTCAGTAGTAAAATATCCCTGGGTACAATTCCCTAGCACCAAATAAATAAATAAATAAATAAATAAAAATTAAAAATAAAAAGAGCTGGGAATGAATGGAAGGAAGGAGGGAGGAAGGGAAGAAAGAGGGAAGGAAGGAGTTTCCCATCTCCCCACATCACTGCCCCTCCTCTTGTGCTAGGGATTAAACCCAGGGCCTAATGTATGATAGGCAAGGGTTCTACTACTGAGTTAAACTTTGAACTCTCCAAAAGGATGCATTAAGTATAGACACAACCATGGGTGTATGTGTGTATGTACGTATACGTGCATAGCCAGGGTGTAGCTGGGGGAGCTATACCCCCAGCCCTTTTTAATCTTTAAGACGGGGTCTCACTAAATTGCCCAGGCTGGCCTAGAACTTGAGATCCTCCTGCCTCAACTTCCTAAATAGCTGAGATTACAGGCAAGTGCTGCTGTACTCAGAAAAAAATGAAGTATTTTTAAATGCTTAGATGAAAACTGGCTCTCTATTGCCACAAAGGTGCTTATTTATAGCCTAAGTAACAAAAATTCAAGCTTATATGCAGAGGAACATTCTGCTTTATACTTGTATGCTAAATATTTCAAATTTCCTCTAATTTATATTTGTTTTTGTTTTTACAAGCTACTGGGGATTGAACCCAGGGCTTCACACATGCTAGGCAAGTATTTCACCTCTGAGTACGTCATTAGCCCTAATTTATATTTCATACTAATTTTTTGAGAGTAATGAAGTCATATATTTATCAATCTTTTAAGCTGGCATTGAGAGAAAAAAGAAATGATAAGGTACCAAAGAAATAGGTTCCAATATTCAGAATTCTAGAAATATAGTCCTCTGAGTATTAAAACACCTGAATATAGACTGCATCAGCAATGTATAAAAGTTCTAATTGTTCCACATTTTCACCAATATTTAACATTGCCAATTTTTTTTTTTTTTACTTTTAGTCATGCTAGTGCATAGATAGTGGTAGTGCACATGGATTATAGATTTCTCTAAAGATTAATGATCAAGTATCTTTTCAAGTGCTTATTTAACATACAATTTTTTTTTAAGAAGCTACCTGTTCAAATCTTTTGCCCCCCCCCCCCCTTTTTTGTTACCTTTTATTTTGTGGTGCTAGAAATTGAATCCAGGGCCTTGCACAAGCTAAGCAAGGTTTCTATCACCTGCAACCTTTCTAAAATCACTATTAGTTCTAGCAGCTTTTTTGGATGTTCTATAGATAGTCATGTCATTTGTAAATAATAATAATAATAATAATAATAATAATAAAATCTTATTCCTTTTCCAGCTCTAGTCCTTTTCTTCATTTTCTTCTCTTGTTGTACTAGACAAGACATATGGTAAAAAGTGAAATGAAGCGAGAGTGACCGTCCTTATCTTTTCTTTTTCCCCAGTCTCACAGAGTAAGTATTAAAGTCTTTTACCATTATACATGTTAGCTGTAGTATTGTGGAGAGGCCCCTTATCACAACAAGGAAACTCCCTTCTATTCCTAGTTTACCAAGAGGATTTGTCATGAATGTATGTTGAATTATGGCAAATCTTTTCTATTGAGATTGTTCTATAGTTCTTTTTTTTTTTTTTTCTGTGAATGCAGTAAATTTTCTGTTAAACCAATCTTGCACTCCTGGGACATGTGTCATTTGGTCATAATATATTATCCTTTCTCTTTATTCCTACATTTGATTCATTAACATCTTGTTAAGAATTTTCACACCTCTGTTCATAAGGCAGTCTGGCCTACAGTTTCCTTATAATGCTTTTTGGCAGTTTTGGTATGGGTATAATGTTGGCCTTACAGAATATTTTGGGAGGTGTTTCTTCCATTTCTATTTCTGGGAATAATTTATATACAATGTTTTGTTTTCTTGAAATGCTTGGTAGGCTTCACCAGTAAAATCATCAGGGTATGGATTTCCCTCTGTGTTAAGGTTTTAAACTACAAATTCTATTTCTTTCATAGACATAAGAATATTCAAGTTATCTATTTCTTTTGAGTGAACTTTGGTAGGTTGTATCTTTCAAAGAATTTGTCCAATTCATTTAAGTCATCAATTTTTTTGACATAAAGTTGTTCTACTATTCCTTTATTATTCTTTTAATATTTGTTATGGTCATGTGACCTCTCATACCACCACTGACAATTGGGGCCTTTAATTACCAGATATTTGGGGCTTTTCTAGATGTTGATTTTTATTCATTACTAATTTAATTCCATGTGGCCAAAAATACACATTTTCTGTTTTTAGATTTACCACCTAGTTGCTGTTTTATGAGGCTATGTGGTGAGATTCACACACACACACACACACACAAAACAACACTTTTTGTCACCATCTTCTAAATATCCTCCCCCAAATATCTACTTTTTTAAAAAATATATTTTAATTGTTGATGTACCTTTATTTTTTAATTTATTTATATGTAGTGCTGAGGATCGAACTCAGTGCTTCACTGAGCCCCAGCCCCAGTCCCAAAATATCTACTTTTAAGACAGTTTTATCTTCAAAACTCTAAATGCTTCCAAAATGACCCATATTACTAGAATAAAATCAACTCAATTCTATTAACAATATTTTTGTTATGCTTTGAAACATGTTTCTTCAAGAATGACCTAGAGAATAATAAACACTTACTGTTATTTGCAAGAGTAAGTCCAATAAATGAGCAAATAGGGCGAATTATCTCAGGTTTCATGCAATTTGTTAGCCATTCATTAGCATGTGAAAAAAGTGAACAGCAAAACATTTGATTCTCATCTGAAAGAAGACAATCAGTTTTTATTTGACATTTGAAAAATACCAGTTTTCATTACTGTCTTTATATTTAAATATTTGAGATAATTACCATTTTGAGGATTGTTGACACAGACACACAGAGTACTACATACTGAAGACCATAACTGATAACTCTGGAAAACATTTTTATCTGACAAATTCAACTCATATTTTGAAAGAACTGTCCTGTTAGGTTAAAAAGAAAAGTAAATTAATATAAATAGGTTAAGGTCTTAAGCAATGAATAACGATAAAAAAAATTCTATTTGCTTACCTGAATAATTGTGACAGAACTGTAATACAACCTGTTTCTCTCACAAGTGTTTGTCCACTCTCTTAAAAAAAAAAAAAAAAGTCATGTATTACATAAATATGACTTTTTTGGGGGGAGGGATACTGGAGAGTGAATTCAGGGGCAATTAACCACTAAGCCACATCCCAGGCCCCTCCCCCCTTTTTTTGGGTGGTGCTGGGGATTGAACCCAGGGCCTTATGCATGCAAGGCAAGCACTCTACCAACTGAACTACATCCCCAGTCCCCCAGGCCCTTTTTAATTTTTTATTTTGAGACAAGGTATTTCTAACTTGCTTAGGGCCTTGCTAAGTTGCTGGGGTTGGCTTTGAACTTGCATCCTCCTGCCTCAGCCTCCTGAGTTGCTGGGATTACAGGCATGCATCACCATGTCTGGCTGAATATATCATTACAAAATATAACAGAATTATAGTAGATAAAAATTTATAACTAACATCATTATGGCAAAGACACTATTTATACTTAGAGATTGACAACATTCAAATTTCCTCTAAAAATCATAAAACACTGATTTTGCATCATGGTTCTCTGTTATAGTACTAAAATATGCTCCAAAGTAGAAAAAAATAAATTCAGTCTTTTATAAGTTTTACAAAAAAACAAAGATAAAATCTAGAAGTACTTTAAATGACCATAAAATGCTTGACAAATTGAAGAACTAAATAAAGCAATGTTAAAAAAAAAAAAATAACACTGAGGGGCTGGGGTTGTGGCTCAGTGGTAGAGGGCTCAAGTGCCTGGCAAGTGTGAGGCCCTGGGTTCAATCCTCAGCACCACATAAAAATGAATAAATAAAATAAAGGTATTGTGTCCATCTACAATTAAAAAAAAAGTAATAATAATAACACTGAACAATAGATGTATTAGAACATTCTACATTCTATTTGCAACTTTTCTATAAATCTAATATTATCCTAAAATAAAAACCATTGCTGGCTGATACAGTAAACTCTGTAACTAATTCGTCAATTCAGTTAAAAAAAAAATCAATCAATTAAATTCATTAAAGGCTATGCTTTTTCTTGTAAAAGTTATTATATCTTGAGCTGGGGTTGGGGTTGGGGTTGGGGTTGGGGCTCAGTGGTTGAGTGCTTGCCTAGCATGTGCAAGGCCCTGGGTTAGATCCTCAGCACCACATAAAAATAAATAAAATAAAGGTATTGTGTCCAACTACAACTAAAAAATAAATATATTTTTTAAAAAGTTATATCTCAAATGTTCAACAGTACAAATCACTTTCTATTTATGAAAATTAACATCAAATGATAAAATGTATTCTGTTAATTCCTTTTTCTTTAAGCTAGTATTTCTCAGAAGTTAATGAGATTTAAAAAAGACACTGATATAAGGAGTAGAATAAAAAGATTAACAATGATTATTCCAATTTATTATTTAAAAGGTTTTTAAACATTCATAAAAGAATATACTTACTATTGTTTGAAACCAGACCCAAAATAACATATACAGACATTCTTTTCAAATTTGTGTTTGAATCATCATTAGATAAGAATAAAGTTAGGTCTTCAAATAATTCTGAAGTACACAAAGTTTGCTGACAGTAAACTGAAATATAAAATATAATTTTAATTTCAATTAATTAGTGAGAACTAGTTTTAAAGAATGCTGAACAAAATACAAAGCTGCCAAACTGTGAGAGGTTCTTCACCTGAACTCATTTGATACTTATTAGAAATACAACAAAATTCCTGACAAACTGATATATCATACTTAAGTATCACACTTTAGAACAGTAGTATCTTAACCAAAAGTGGGCTCTAGGCTCCAAACATGTATTAATATCCTTTACAGTTTTCAGTAAAAACCGAAATAAAAAATTGAATAAAATCAGACAAAAACTTAAGAGGATAAATAACTAAACAAACCAAGAAAAACAATTTAAGAAAATTCAGAAACTTGCTCTGGGGCTGGGGTTGTAGCTCAATGGTAGAGCACTTGCCTAGCACCTGTGAGGCACTGGGTTCAATCATCAGCACCACATAAAAATAAATAAATAAAATACAGCTATTGTATCTATCTACAACTAAAAATATTAAAAAAGAAGTAATGAAAAAAAAATCCTGCTCTGGAAAACAAAGGGACAAATTATATTTGTGTATTTTTGGAGACTTTTCTAGAAATCAAAGTCTTTCAAAAATAAAATAAAATAACTGACAGTGGTTATTTTTTTATAGACACTCATGCAATAAGTAGAATTTCACAAAAAAATAATAATTTGAACACAGTAATATAGTAGGCATTTTATTTAGTGCCCTATACCAACTACTATCCCCTTTCTCAGAGGCAAAGATTAGTTATCCCTGTATCCTCAATGCCTAGCACAAAACTTGGTCCTTAATATTTGTTGGTGACATATTTAGTTACTAGAAATATAAAAGTATAAATTTGGTTTGGTAAACTGATGGTTCACATTCAACCTTTTTTCAGGAACACAGCAGAAAAGTGTTTTTGCCAACATGAAGAGTTATACCCAAAGCATACAAGATGGTTGTGAACTATCTACATCTTTTGATTTAAATACCTGGATAAAGCTAATCAAACGTGTAAAACAGAAATTTAATTCTACAATTACTTTTTGGTAAAATATATCTTTAAAGATAATAAATAAAATTTTACATATTACCATTTTTTTCTGCAACTGCTCCTAATGTATATAAAGCTGCTTCTTTTACCATGCTATGCTCACTTGACTTTGCAAGATTTTTTACAAACATCAAACCACCAATTTCCCGAAAATAAACACCTGCATTACCTGTTGGGTATAAACAAAACAAAATAGAAATGATATTTATTTCCATTATTCTGTTGAGAATTTAAAAAACATTTGAAGAAAGTAATATAACATACAGAGTAAGAGTAGAAGAGAAAAAACATGCATATTTGATATCACAGTACTATGTAACTAGAATCAGATAAAATTCATTATAATATCTTACTGTTTTGTTGACAAATTGAATGAATAGTGACCAAAGCTTCTTTTTGTGAAAATGGATTGTCCATTTGATACTTTAGACATTCCAATAATAAGTTCAGGTCAGTCTTCATTTCTAAAAAAGAAAAATTTGATTAATTTGAACTAAATTTTTCTTTCAAAGACTAATGATTCAATTGCATTTTCCCATTACATATCTTTGGAATGTTTAACTTTTGACGTACGTGTGTGTGTGTGTGTGTGTGTGTGTGTGTGTGTATGGTGCTAGGGACTAAACCCAGGCTCCACTCAAGCTTGGCAAGAGTTCTATCAACTGAAGCGAAATCCTCAGCCCTAGAATGTTTGATTTTTAAAATAAGCATTTATTACTTTTATAAGCTAACAAACAAAAAATGTATAAAAAGAAAGACATTGTTTAAGTAAAAGCACTTAAAATAAACTTCTTCTAGTTCTTTGGTTTTACCCTAACATGGTATACAGAAATAGAATGTACAAATATTGTTCTCTTCAAGTAAAGCTACAGTGGTTTAAAAATCTGCCATTTAGAAATGAACAGAATGAAAATGAAAACATATAAACATTTGTAGGATGCTACTGAAGCAGTATTTATTTATTTATTTATTTATTTAAGAGAGAGAGAGAGAGAGAGAGAGAGAGAGAGAGAGATAGTTTTCAGCAGACACAACATCTTTGTTTTGTATGTGGTGCTGAGGATTGAACCCGGGCGGCACGCATGCCAGGCGAGCACGCTACCACTTGAGCCACATCTCCAGCCCCTGAAGCAGTATTTATAAGGAAATTTATAGCATCTATAGATTTACCTATATATTTATATTATCTATAAATTAGTAATTTATAAATACCTATGTTATAAAAGAAGGGTCTTAAATCAGAAACCTCAGCTTTCACCTTAAAAAACTAGAAAAACCCAAAGTAATCAAGAAAAGGAAATTATAAAATGAAAGGAGAAATGAGTAAAGTAGAAAACCAATAGAGAGGGTCCTTTGAGAAGAACAATAAGATAAATTTCTAGCCAGACTAATTAGGAAAAAGAGTACAGACTCAAATTACCACTATCAAGAATGAAAGAACCAGGGCTAGGATTGTGGCTCACCAGTAGAGTGCTTGCCTAGCATATGCAAGGCCCTGGGTTCGATCCTCAGCACCACATGAAAATACATAAATAAAATAAAGGCATTGTGTCCAACCACAACTAAAAGATATTTAAAAAAAGAATGAAAGACCCAAGATAGGTGCCCTTCAACAGATGAATAGCTAAAGAAAATGTAATATAAATACACAATGGAATATTACTCAGACATAAAGAAGAATGAAATTATGGCATTTGCCAGTATTGGGTAAACTGGAAACATGCTGAGTGAAATAAGCCAGTCCCAAAAAACCACATGCCAAATGTTCTCTTTGATTTGTGGATGCTAACACACAATAAAGTAGGTGGAGGAAAGAATAGAAGTTCATTGAATTAGATAAAGAAGAATGAAGGGAAGGGCAGGAGGATGGGAAGAGGAAAAACAATAGAATGAATCAGACATAACTTTCTTATGTTTATATATGAATACATGATAGTGAAACTCCACATCACCTACAACCACTAGAATGAGATCCTAATTAGAATAAGTTATACTCCATGTGTGTATAATATGTCAAAATATACTCTACTGTCATGTAAAAAAAAGAACAAATTCAAAAAATAAATTTTGTTGAACCAAAAAAAAAAGAATGAAAGAGATGGCTTTACCATAGATTCTATAGATATTCCAAAGATAATAAGGGAGTAGAGAGTATTATGTTTAACTTCATATCTATACAGTCCATGACTTAGATGAAATACACAAATTGCTTAAAAAGTGAAATACACAAATTGCTTAAAAGATATAAAATCACCAAAACTCACTCAAGAGAAAACAGATAACCTGAATAGGCCTACATCTATGAAAGCTGAAATCATAGTTTAAAACCTTTTCATAAAGAAAACACCAGGTTCAGATGGTTTCATTTGTAAATTCCACCAAACATTTAAGGAAGAAATAATACCAATTCTATACAAGCTTTTTCAAAAGTTTGAGAGAAGGAATACTTCTCAATTTATTCTTTGAAACTGGCATTACCCTTATACCAAAATTAAAACCACTAGAAAGAGAACTACAGCCCAATATCCCTCATGAGCATATATGCAAAAAGTCTAAACAATTTTAGCAAACTAAATCCAGAATGACCAAGTGGGCTTATCCCAGATGGAGGGTTGATTTAAGATTTGAAAAAAAAGATCAAACAATATAATATAATAAAAACCTTTTGGTCATCTCAATAGATGTATAATAACATTTGATAAAATCCAACATTCATTTTTGATTAAAAAAAACTGTCAGCAATCTTGGAAAAGAAGGGAACTTCTTCAACCCTGGCAGTTATGAATTCAAAATGAAACAAAACCCTAGCATCATACTTAACAGGGAATACTATCTAAGGCCAAGAACAAGACAGATTTGTTTAGTTTTAGCATCATACTAGAGTCTAGCTAGTGCCATCAGTTAAGAAAAAAAGAAATAAAAGGTGTATCTCCCAAAAAAGGAGATGTAGCCAGGCATGGTGGCATACAATCCCAGTGACTATGGAGTCTGAGACAGGAAGATTACAAAGTTGGAGGCCAACCTCAGCAACTTAGCAAGGCCCTAATAAACTGAGTGACAACCTCTTACAAAATAAAAAATAAAAATGGCTGGGGATGTAGCTCAGTGTTAAAGTATGCCTGGGTTCAATTACAAGTACCAATAAATAAATAATTAAACAAACAAACAAACATACATACTTAAAAAAAGCAGATATATGTCCATACAAATCTCATGGCACCATTATATGGAATAGCCAAAAAAAAAAAAAACAGATCAACTAGAATATCTATCAGCAGATGAATGGATAAACAACTCATGGTATAACCACACAATGGAATTAACTACTGTTAACATGAAATAAGGATGAACCTCAAAATAATTATGCTGAGAGAAAAAACACATTATATGATTCCATGTATTGAAAAAGCACAAACTCATATAAAGTAACAGAAAACAGACTGGTGGTTGCTTGGGAAAAGAGAGCCTAAGAAGGGACATAGGGAGGGATTACTAAAGCTCATTGGAGGATATATTCACCATCTTGAATATGCTGATGTTTGCATGGTTATACATGTGTCAAAACTAATCAATGTGTACACTTTGTTATAACTAAACAGCAAATAATACTATAGTCCTTAAACAATTTCTTCTCTTTAAGGATTTAAATACAATTATATATAGGCTCTGGCATAATTCCTGAATTAACATTCAAAGTTCTGAAAGATATAGAATGAAGGGAGGACATAAAAATACAGAGAAACACACTAAAAATTAACTAATTTCTATTATCAATCAATATTTAGTCTTCCTCTTGAAAGAAATCCAGCTGGCAATTTGTTTCAATGGAATAATTTGTCACGTAGTTTGTTAGTGAAAAAACCATAGCACAAGCTGGGTGGGCTGGCACATGCCTATAATCCAGTAATTTAGGAGGTTGAGACAATAGGACTGAAAGCTTAGAGCATCCTGGGCAACTTGTCTCAAAATAAAATATAAAAAGGGCTGTGAGTGTAGCTCAGTGGAAAAGTCCCTAGTGCCATCAAAGAAAAACATAGTACAAAGTCTATCACCAAGTTTTCTTTTAGGAATGGAAAGTATTTAGTGATCATTTTATATATTAACAAAAACTACACGATGGTAAGTTTTTATGGATATCAATAAGTTACATCAACAACGTGTTGATGGGACACGTGAATTTCAATTCTAGACACAAGGTGGGGTGCGAGAAACAACTTCCTTATGTACTCCTCCACTCTCTTTCATACTTCCATCTCATTTTAAAATCTCCTATCATACGCCTTCCCTTCCCAGTAAAAGCAACTGGGAAGGGAAGTCCCAGTTGACTGGGACTTGATAGATATATAATGACATCTATATCTATCATATTTCATTTTGGATTTATCTTCTCTAGGCTGAGCAACCAAGTTCCTTCAATAATTCCTGAAGAAAACAAGCAAACAAAAACTGAAGCGCATATAATACCAAAAGCAGAAGTAATAAAAGAAAATTTGATTAAAAATGGAAAACTTTTGAGCTTCAAAAGATACCATCCAGAATGTGAACAGATAATCCAGTCTGGAAGAAGAGACCTCCCAATCAGATACCCAATAAAAGGCGTATGTTCAGAATACATAGAGAACTCTTAAAAATTCAATAACAAAAAGGCAATTTAAAAGTGTGTGAAGGATTTGAAAATACATTTCTCCAAATATAAGTTAATAATAAGTAAGAAGAAAGACACCCAACATTGTTAACTATTAGGGAAATGCAAACCAAAATCACAATTAGATACAATTCACAATGTTAATAAATGAATGAACAATGGGAACTGATGGATAAATACCCTTCACCCTTTAGCTGGGATGAGTTAGGCACACAACTCGTAGAATTTCCTAGTGGAGTTTTGCTCCAGAACCCATGATAATGTACTCTTCTGTCTGCCTTCCCTTTTCTATCTCATTTTGCAGCCAGTGTTTCCTGAGATTCTTTTTGCAAAAAAAGTACTTACACTCAAATCCTTGTCTAAAAGGTCTACTTCTGGGGGCAACCAAGTTAAGTCATAAAATGAAAGAGTGAGATATGGAACTGAGGTTGGAGGGTTGACAAATGAAGTTTGATAAGTAGTCTGAGAAAGGCATTGCCAACAATTAACTCCTATTTCTCCATATTGTTTAATTTCTTTTTTTCTGGAATCTCCATTCTCTCTTCAAAAATTCTTTGTCTCTACGACCTGGTAAGACTTCCTTGACAAGCTTGGCACTGTGGTACAAGTCTATAATCCCACTTGCTTGGGAGGGTGAGTCAGGAGGATCCCTTGAGTCCAGAAGTTTGAGGCCTGTCTAGGCAATACAGTATAACACACACACACACACACACACACACACAAAGGAGTTTGGGGAGTACAGCTCAGCGGTATAGCATTTACCTAGCAAATACAAGGTCCTGGTTTCTATCCCCCCCGACACTAACAAAAAAAAAAAAAAAAAAAAAGAGAGAGACTCCCTTCACATTTTAACCTCCAACTACTACTATATATCTTAAGTTTTTAAAAAGAATAAGCTATTCAATACTGTCTTCACATCTTCATTTCCCACACAGACCTAAATATACTCCACTCTAATATATATATTCTAAATATACTGAACTTTATCAAATGTATTGTTAATAAAACTAACAACATCCTAAATTCAAAATCCAGGGGATAATTCAGTTCTCATCTGTGACATCTGACACTAATGATCTTAAGCAATCTTTTTCATGAAGCATTCTCCTAAGACTGATTTTCAAGACATCAAATTCTTGACTCTTTCTTTCCCCCTTTCTGAAATGTCTCTCTTTTTTTGAGGGTCCTTTTCTTAAGCTAAAACCATGGGATAGCATGCATTAGGGAATGTTATTCCCCATACTTTATTATTATTATTTCCTCTGTGGTTAACCCCCTCCATGTCTAGGGATTCTGTTTCCATCTTTCCAAGAATAATACTGACATCTACACCTCCAGGCATACTTTAACAGTGGTCCTCTCAGGTTCCCACTGTTATATACTTTTATATACTATCATTAAATCAACTATCACTCGGCATTCAGAACATTATTCTCCATTGTCAGTTTCCTGAAGGCAGGAATAATGTGAGAACCAGAGAAGGTGCTCAATATTTCTGTAAATTGCTGAATGACTCATTTCCTGGATCCAGTCAGATAATCTGAAGTATATCCCACAAATATATTATAGAACCGACTGCAGATATGATTCATGAATTTCTCACCTTGTATTTTCTTTGTATCCTCACTTTCCATGTTTGTCTGTATTCTTTTTCCTTATATTACATCTGTAAGGTAGAGGAATTTTCTCAATTTAAATCCATTTTAAAGAATGCCAGAAATATAAATGTAAAGGAAGTAGGCAAAAACAGTTTTCCTGAAGCCAGAAAACCAGGGATTTAATCTTCAATTTAATAGATGTATGATACTGGGCACATTGCTTAAATTCTCTGAGATTCAGTTTCCTTACCTATAAAATAGGACTGATATTTCTACTGTATGGAGTTGTTACTAGAATTAAATTTGAAAACATACATAAACACATCTAGTGTTCTGAAGCACCATAGGCACCCAACAAATTTTATTAAACAAATGACTGACTGATTAAACCTAACTAGTCCTTCTTGGGTCCTATTTCCTTATTTTCTTTCCTGTAAATCTCCATCCCAATTTCAGTTGAAAATCCTTCCAGGAATCAGAGGTTTAAAACACAGATCCAGGATACTCTCTTTAGATCTCCATTTTTCTTCACAAGCTAAGTTTAATAATATAAAACATTTTTTTTCGTGGCTGGGGTTGTGGCTCAGGAGTGGAGTCCTTGCCTCCCACATGTGAGGCACTGGGTTCGAGCCTCAGCACCACATAAAAATAAACAAACAAAATAAAGGTATTGTGTCCATCTGCAACTAAAAATATATATTTTTTTAAAAAAAACATTTTTTCACTGGAAATGATGGCACACGCCTGTAATCCCAGGGACTCAGGAGGCTGAGAAAGGAGGATCACAAGTTCAAGGACAGCCTCAGCAATTTATCGAGGCCCTAAGCAACTTAGCAAGACACTGACTCAAAATTAAAAAAAAAAAAAAAAAAGAGGGGCAATGCCGGGGATGTGGCTCAGTGGTTAAGTACTCCTGGGTTCAGTGCCTGGAAATAAGAAAAGAAAAAATACTAAACATTTTTCCAACAACACATGTATTTTCAGCGTGGTATTCTACCACTATGCTTAAATTTTGTATATATCATTTGTTAGAAGAATTTATTTAATTAATTTATTTATTTTGGAACTAGGGATCAAACCTAGGGCTATTTTACCATGAGCTACATCCCAGGTCTGACCGTCTATCTATCTATCTATCTATCTATCTAGACAGGATCTCGATAAGTTGCTGAGGCTGGCCTCAAGCTTTCAATCCTCCTGCCTCAGGCTCTAAAGTCACTGGGATTACAGGTGTGTACCCAGGAAGAAGTTTTAAAATAATTAGCAACTCTGATATGGCATTTTACATGTTCTACTTTAGAATGCTAAATTAATTATTTCAAAAACAGAGTTCAATTAATTTAAAACAACAAATCAGGACTTATGGAATTCAAGTTCTTGTTTACTCCAATATGTTGTCAAAGAAAGATACCCAATAATCCTTTTTATTTTTCATTCTTACTCTCAAAATGAAAATAAAATTCCTAAGCAAAAAAAAAAAGTTTAAAAAATAACAAATGTGAGAATCTTTTATAAACTAGTGTAAAATTTATACTAGTTTTGCTATTTCTAACTTCTTATCACATTAAAAAAGAAATGGTGTATGTTCAGCAGTACAGTGCTTGCCCAGCATGTGAGAGGCACTGGATTTGATCCTCAACAACACATCTAAATAAATAAATAAACAAATGTGTCCATCTACAACTAAAAAAAAGAAATGATTATTACACTAGTACATCTTCAGGATGAGACATTGACATTTACTAGAAAATTCTAATAGCTAGGAAAAACACTTAAGTTACAAAGTTAACAAGAACAAAAAACACTTACAAATTATGGTATAAAAGGCAAAATAAGATTGAATAAACAGACAGAAATATATTAACAGTTGTCTTAGGGTGGTTCTATTGTATTTTATTCTACTATTTCCTATTTTTCTACTTATTTATAATATAATGGCTTATAATATTCAGTACATATCTACTGTAGGCCAGGCTCTAGGTTCTTTACACTACATTAATATTATATTATTAGTCTTTGCAAAAATTTTTATGAAGGCGCCATATTGATGAAGATAGATGACAAAAGGTTAAATGATTTGCCCAAGTTCAAACAGCTAGGGGTTGGAATGGGAATCAAGAAGATCTGAAGCCCGTAGATTTTATCCTTTATTAGACTGACTCATATAGATTTTTTACCATTGAGCAAACTGGCTAACATTTGGAAAAAAGATTTTAAAAACTGTTATAAATGGACAACTGTATCATATAATGGTGTTTTTATTTTGTGGGGGAGCTTAAGAACTATCTCCTCATTTTAATTAGTCTAACCTACGGCCCCCTCTCTCACACTCCCCCCGCCCACGTTATTGAATCCAGGGTGATCTACCACGGAGTTACACCCATGCCCAGCCCCTTTCACTTAACTTACAAAATGTTAGATCAAAAACTTTTTTGGAACTTACATATTATCCCAAATTATCAGAAAAGAAAAATGACATTTTTTCCGCGCATAAGGCTGGCAGAGAGGGCTGAAAATCCTGCCACTAATTGCCATCATTAACAGTGGCTGCTTAGCTTTGACTCACACCTGGCGGAAAACGATCTCTTAATGGAGAGGCTAGGAGGAGGGCAAACATGCAACATGAAACAGGAATTTTCTGATAGAACAGTTCAAATGGTTTGTGAAATAACAATCGTTCAGGTCCCAGGAAACGCGCTTAGGGATCAATTGGCTCCACAATATTAACGGTAGATGGTTGCACGACCCCTCGCCGCCTCACCCAGCTAACACCGGGAATCTTTTCAGAAGGGGATCCTAACCACCCTGCTTCCTCAAATGCCATTCAATGATACCGCGGCCTGGCTCACCTGAGGAGCCGAGGGCTCCTTCTGAAGAGCACAGGCGGTCCCCGGGGTTCTTCTCCACCAGGCTCCTGGTGGAGAGCAGGCGCAGTCAGAGGGCGGCCTAGCCGAGCACCCAGCCCACCTACCGCCGGCGCCGCTAAGGCCTCGCCCACGCGGCCTCGCCCACGCGGCCTCGCCCACGCGGCCTCGCCCACGCGGCCTCGCCCACGCGGCCTCGCCCACGCGGCCTCGCCCTGGGTCTGAGCCGCTATCTCACCAGCCACTACCACCTGGGAGGCACCTGGCGCTGCGCGTGACAGACGCCTAACTAAGGGAAACAAGGCAGGGATCTCTCCCACCAGGAGCTGCGGGGGCTGCAGAAGGGTCTGAGTGCCTGCTCTGGAAGGCGCCGCCTCAGCTCAACGCCTCGCGGTGGGCCGGTAAGTAAAGACCCTCGGGGGAGTGTAGCATCCCAGGCACACTGAGGGCAGAACTGGGCAGCCAGTCTTCCACAGGAGGTAATGGACGGGACCCCAGGCTGGAATAAAACGACCCCAACGCGTGGGAACGCAGTCCGCGGGCTTTACCCTCAGTTTGAAGAGCATAGGATGCCTTGAGCTCTCCTAAGCGCTGCCTTGACTGAGTTTCCCGCTCAAGGTCCAGATTCACTTCCGCTGGTGGGACTTCCGGCAGGAACGCCTATCCTCACGCGGAGCCTTGCCTCCCCTAGTCCCTGACGTTCTTAAGAACAGGAGGAACCAATGTGTGGTCATCAAGATTTTGGATGGAGGAAAATCACAATTAGGGGGGATGTCCTGTCCCCTAATCTCACCGCCTCCAGGTTTTATGGTTTCCTTTATCCGGAAGGGCGTTTGCCCCAGAAAAGAGTGGGCTTGGATTGACGAGGCCTGGGCCATCGCTGGGTTCGCACGCAAGTATTGCGCATGCACAGGCCTCAACCCAGCTCTTCCCAGCCTGCCCCACAGCCTGTGTTATGCGTTTATTTCCCTAGTGCTGGAGTTTTTTTTTTTTTTTTTTTTTTTTTCCATGGAGGGATAGTCCTGCCACACAGCCGCCCAGTCGGGCCTCAGCCTCAGTTCAGGCCTGGTATACTTCCCTCCGTCTAGACCAAAAGATCAGGACTCTTGGGTCTCCAATTAGAGTTAAGGCCTTGACTTATCTAATGGTCCTGCTCCATGCCTCTACAATAAAATCCACATCATGGGAGCGTCGGGGAGGGAAGTGAGTTACTGTGAAGGGTCAGTGCCTGCTGCTACGGCTGTGGGAAAGGCAACCCATAAGATGAAGAACAGCCAGCAAGGGCATGACCCATTAGGATCCAAGAAAAACGAACCCCCCCCCCCCCCCACCCCGCACCTCATCAAACACTTCTTGCTTAGGGACACTGGCCTCAGAAACTAATTTGCAGGCAGTTTGGAGGCCTTGAGATATTGAATCATATCACCCTTCAGCTGTAAGTCGGAAACTCGGCCTTGCTCTCCCTTCTGTATTTTCAGTTCACCGTTAGGTCCATCTAAACGACTCCCATTCTCAACTGTAGTATTCTTCAAAATGAAATTTAAGATTTTTACACATTGCATTTTAGTCACAGAATATTGTTTGAAGAACACCTTTTTTTTTTTTTACAAAAGTTTGCTTTGTAGTCTTACATGTGGTTACCTTTCATAATTATTCCATGGTTCTTAAAGTGTTGAATTCAGGATTCCATGTGTGTCATTTAGATCAAGCTTATTAATTGTGTTGTTCAAATAATCTATATTCTGACATGTGTCATCTGCTAGGATTATCATTTACTGAAAGAGATGTGATACTTTTTAAATATGATTGTGAATTTTGTTGATTTCTTTCTGGAAAAGTGCTCCTTATGTCTGTTGGAAATGAGGTCAAGCTGCACGTTATGGAAAAACCAACTAGCATGGCTTATTTTAAGAGAATTTCATTTCTCAAGAATAAAGAAATCTAGTAAATAAAAAAAGATTTTATGTGGTGTGGATGGACCAACTCTAAAATTTCAAGGAGGTATAGGTGGCACAACCTAAATTAGTTATGATGACTCATATACTTATAGGGGGATGGTTTTGTTTTCTGCTAAAACTACACATCCTGAAACATTTCTAAATTTTATTCACTTAAACAAATAACAGTGGTCCTAAAATGTCCGTAGCTAAAATCTGTTCAATAGTAAGAAAAAATATTTTATTTCTAAAAAACTTAGGGATACCTATGATAAGTAACCCTTACACAGCAAGCCAGTATTAATGAAATCAATCAGAAATACCTTTTATTCTCTGAGGAAATGATTGCTTCCTCTTCCCACCTCAAAGAATAAGACTACTGTTATTACAAATGAGAAAAAAAGTTTATTGAGGAAACAATTTAACAGACTAGAGCACAACCTGAAGGCAATTACAGTTTGAGTTAACACTCTTCACAGAATGCTTTTTCTACAACTGGAAAGTTGCTGAGGTTTGTGACATGCCACTATAAATGTAAGTATTATTAAAAATTACAAATTGCTTGGTAATTATTTTGATAACCTCTTGAGCAGCAGCTCCTGTAAGGAAAAAAAGAGAAAAGCAAATATTTGAAAAGAGTAAATTTCAAGAATTTAAGATTTCAATTCTTTATTACTATATTATTAAAGGAAATAAAACTTTTTGTTAGGAAGATTGGCAAGATATATTGAGGGAACAAAATTTAAATAGTAGTTTGACAAGGGAACTTTTTTAAAGGATACAGATGCATAAAATATCCTCAAAGAACACCCTTCTTTTGCATTAGATTTTTACTTGTGTGTGTCTTATACCAACAAAGGATATATAAAGATATGTTTGTTCAAAGTGCATTTGTTATTTAGAAAGGATCTATGTTAAATGTTGCCAGTCTGATATAACTACTCAAAACAAAACACAAAAAAGAAAAAAACTACCATGGAAAAATGGTGAGGTCACAGCAAGAAGACGGCCATCTATGAACCAGGAGGTGGGCTTTCACCAGACACTGACACACTGGCACCCTGATCTCAGATTTCCAGAACTGTTGTTTACAAGGTGCCTAGTCTGTGATATTCTGTAGCCCAAACCAAGAGAAGGAAGAAGTACAGTGAGGGAGGGAGACAAGTAAAAGGAGTTTTTATGAAGGAGGTGGCATTTTTTATTTGGATCTTGAAGAACAGATAGGTTCTAGACATGTAGGAAATATATTTTTAAGGCCTAAGAGGAGAAAAGATCTAGGAGCAATAAAAGTGAATGTCTAGGGTAAAAGCAAGTGATTTAGTAAAACTAACCAGAAAAGCTGAGGGAACGAAAGTACAGGGTCTTTAATGTCAACCTATTGTCCCTGGACTTGTTTATGGGAACAGCTGGAGAAAGGGAAAGAAGGAAGGAGAGAATGTATATGTGTGTGTAATGGTGGTACAGAAAGTTAAGTGAAGGACATGATCAAAACTATGCCTTAGAAGGACTAGTGACTCTTTAGAAATTTAACATGGACGACAGTGAGAGAGACAGAAGGAAGAAAGCAGCAGTATGGGGCGGGGGGTACTAAATAACATCCTGCTACACTGACCTCAGTAATTAAAATAGCTGAGAAAACAAACTTCATATTAAAATAGCAACTGTATTATGTATCAACAGATAAGTCATCTCATCTATGGAACTCACCCCCCAAGAATGCAGCAATGGTGTGTGGCTCAGCAGCTCCATATCGGCAGCTATAGGAAAGGATGGAGATATAAACTTAGATTAGCCTTATGACAGGTGGGGTATTCTCTTTTATGTGCCCTAAAGAATACTCACAATTCATGGACATAATCATCTTTCACCATTACAGATAACCCATATTCCTGAAGGAAGCCTGTGAGACAGGACTTCAACTTTCCTATATCTTCTTCAACTTGATAGTTAGATACACCTTAAAAAAAAAAAAAAAAAGATTTAAAGTCTACCTACATGAATATATATATATATATATATATATGTATACACACATAAAAATTAATTTTCATTAAAATAAATATGATTCAAAATTAATGACTACCTCTTTTACTTAATCAGTTTCAGATGTTCTAGTCAAAATAGTAAGATTTGAAACTGAAGAACAAAAATAACAAGAATGAAACCAATTACTTGCAAATATTGGAAACTTATAATCGAAGAAACCAACTAAAATCTATTAAAAATTCAAGTTCACTAAGTCCTTATCAACTATCAACTGCTCCCTACCCACCATCTAGAAGAGTACCTGGACATTGGGGCAATAATTATTGCCTGGCACACATGGGGTGCTGGGTTCGATCCTCAGCACCACATAAAAATAAAGATGTTGTGTCTGCCGAAAACTGAAAAATAAATATTAAAAAAATTCTCTCTCTTTAAAAAAAAAAAAGAACTAAATGAGAAAACATTCTATTTATATCATTTATAAAAAATAGTCTTCCTTATTCATTTCTAAGAAACTAAATGACACCGAGGACATAAAGTTTAATAATAGGTAACATTTATTTAATACCAATAGATGCTGGACACTATACTAAGTACTTCAGTTATATTGATTGATTTAATCCTCACAACAACCCTATGAAATAGGTACTATACAGATGAGAAAACTGAGACATGGACAGATGAAGTTACCCTCATTTTTACAGAAAAGAAAACTAAGGCTCAGATTATACTACTTAGCTCATAAACAGCAAACTTAAGATATGAACCCAGAAAGTTCTTAATGATTAAACTATAATATCTCCAAAGGTAAGCTATGGTTGTTACTACTGGAGGAGAAATACAATTATTATTAAAAACTTATCACTATTCTTCTTCATAATAGTGATAGCTACCCTTTACTGAGCACTTGCAAAGGTGCTAGCAATGTGTTAAGTGATTTTCGTATTTCACATATTTAACCCTTACAATCTAGTAAGAGGAGATACTGCATCTGCCATTCATTGAGAATGGAGACATGGAGAAAAACAGTGGCTTACTCAAGGTCACAGAGATAGTGACAAATCTTGGACTAGAACCCATATTTAACTCCAAAGCCTATGCTATATGTGGTATCTAGTCTTACATGACAGCTCCCAAAACACCCACTGTAAGCTCTCATGTAGTCCTTTCCCATCCTTAATCTTAGCTGGCCCTCTGAAACCAATACGACAACATAAGCAATGCAGTGTGGCTTCTAAGAGGTCATAAATAGCTTTGTACCTTTCATATGTGGAATTTTATAGGAAGCCAGACATCACAAAAGTCTACCTTTGGACTTCCATGCCAAAAGGAAGTTCAAGCTTATAATCCCAGCTACTCAGGAGGCTGAGGCAGGAGGACTGCAAATTTGAGGCCAACCTATGGCAACTTAGTGAGACCCTGTCTAAAAAAAAAAAATTTTTTTTTAATGCTGGGGATGTAGCTCAGAATTAGAGCACCCCTAGGTTCAATCCCCAGTATCACAAAAAACAACCACCACAAAAACCCCTCAAATTAGCCACATGGAAATAGACGCCTAGCCACTCCCCAGTTGTTCCTGCCATCCTGACTGAGGTGTCAGGAAATGTCTTGTTTGATGTCTTGTTGAATGTCTAACTCAGACAAGGCTTCAGAATGATTCCAGCCCAGGCATAATACAACTATATGAGAACCCCTCTCCTAGCTGGGCATGGTGCATACCTGTAATCCCAGCTATTCAGAAGACTTAAGGCAGATAGATTATTAAATTCAAGGCCTGGGCAATTCAGTGAAACCCTGTCTCAAAATAAAATAAAAAGGACTATGGATGTAGCTCAGTGTCTTGGATTTAATCCCAGAACCACCCCCCCCCCACCCCCGCCACACACACACACACAAAAATAGGGCTGGGGTTGTAGTTCAGTGGTAAAGCACTTGCCTAGCATTTGTAAGGCACTGGGTTTGAGTCTCAGCACCACATATAAACAAAATAAAGGTTCATCAACAACTAAAAATGCTGTGGCTCAGTACCTGGCATGTGTGAGGTACTGAGTTCAGTTCTCAGCAACGCATATAAGTAAATAAAATAAAGGTAAAAAAAAAAATTAAGTAAATAAAAAATAGAATAAAATAAACTTTCCTCAAAAAAACAATTGCCTAAACCCAGTTAATCCATAAAATCATGAGATTGTAATTTGTTTTAAACCACTGTTTTGGGGTGTTTTGTTATACAATAAATTAACCAAAATATATTCTAATTAAATAATATGTATAAAGCAATACATATTTGGCATTTATTCCCCTTTCCTCCTCCCTCTGGAAAATTTGCTCATTGTGACTGTAATCTGGAGGTTTAACTAGATTAGATGGGGCAACTGGCTAATGACAGATCTAGAATATATTGCTATGCAATAATCCTGCGCAATTAAAATTATCAAAAATAAAAATATTCTTAATAACTGTAGATCTTTGAGACTATGCCAATTCTGTAATTACTTCATTTGCAGACAAATAATGCTAAACAAAGAAATTCCAACATCTTCAGTGTTCTGAATTCAGAAATCACTGGAATACTTCTTGTGGCTTTCCTGTTCTACTGGATTAAAACCAGTGTAAGTCAGAACAAAATTATGAAAATTAACAGAAAAAGTTTTCCTTTTTTTTTTTTTTTTGATGCTAGTCTAAAAAAATCCCCAGCTCTCTTTCTTTTGAGACACTATCTCACTAAATTGCAGAGGGCCTACATTGCTGAGGCTGGCCTAACTTGCAATCCTCCTGCCTTAGCCTCTAAAAATTACTGGGATTATAGATGTTGGCCATCACACCTGGCAAAAAAAGTTTTCTTTTATTCACATCCAATCAACATTCCTCTATAACAGTTTAGAATCAAACACTACTTGCAAAATTATATACTCTCTGAGATGAGCTAGGTCTAATCTGTTTACAACATGAAATTCAAATACTATTGTTATAAGTATCCAGAGAACCCTTTAAGATTAAATTTGACTTAAATGTTTATTCAACATTTTATTACATTTGGTAATTTCATTGCTATTCTTACCTGGATATCTACCATGTTGTTTATGAAATCTATCAACAGCCCGTAACATTAAGTATAATACTATCTCATTATCTGGATTGTCCATGCTGGAAACTGAAAGAGAAAAAAAATGAATATAATTTGGGTAATTTGCAACATATAAACAACAAAGAGCCAATTTTACTATATACTCAAGTTTCAGGATACAATATTACCACAAATTAAGTATTTTGTTACAATAAAATGAAAATGGTAAATAAAGTAATAAAGGGAAATGCATTAAGAGGTTACTCAGTGATCTTACAACAACTGGAGTCATGCAGTATCTACTGAAGTAGTAACATGACTTTAGCTCTTCTATATAGCATACAATGGACTCAGTGACCTCTATTATTTTTTGTATATATTAAGTTTTTATATAATATGCATACATTATAATTACTGGGATAGGTTTATAGAATAAAATTAGTGTAAATATTTATATTATTTTTATATTATTACCATATACTTGACACAAAATACTTATATCTTTTAACCTAGCATCAGAAGGTTATTATACTTACTAATTTCATCCCTGTTAACTGTATCCAAACCATATTCTTCAGCTAATGATCGACACCTTACCACTCGAAGAAATGCAGAATTGCTGCCTGAACATAGGAAAGACTTTATGGAAATAATGGTTGTGACAGATGATTACTACAAATCTCAGGTCACCTTAAGAATAGGAAATTTTTCTATGTACACTTCACAGACATGGGAATAAGACAATATGTATTCTATATGGCTTTAATGGTTAGCAGAGAAGGCAGTAAAACACAAGTTATCTTAAATGCATAATACTGGCACAACAATTAGTTTAGCACTGAGTAAGAAGGTGGCACCTCTTTGAGCCTCAGTTTTTAATTTGTAAAATGGGGATAATATTATCTACTTTTGAGAGTTTTTCTGTAGATGAAATGTGTCATATATGTAAGTGCATACCTAGCATAATGCTTGATATGGCTCAATAAATAGTAATCCTCATTTTTATGGATAAGTAGTCCTAAAGGAGAGTGGTGGTACGAAGGATTGAACTCAGAGGTGCTCTATCACTCAGTTACATCCCAGCCTTTTTTGTATGTGTGTGAGATGGGATCTTACTAAACTGCCCAGGCTGACCTTGACCTTAGGATCTTCCTGCCTCAGCCTCCCAAATCACAGGGATTACAGGTATGTGCCACTATACCCAGCTATATTAAGGCATTTAAAAAAAAAAAAACAACAACAACTTTGTATTATGGAAATTTTCAAACATACCCTAAAGAAAACAGAACAGAGTAAACTTTCAAATATGCGACATTCAGCTTTTAATCTGGTATCATATACTCTAATAGAACAAACACCAATATTGATACAAGGTGCAAAATATACATCTATATCATTGAGACTGTGTAAAACTTAGAATTTTAGCCATTTAAAACTCCTGGGAACATTTATCAAACAAAATAAGGAAATTAGTTCAAGGGGACTTACAGAGTAATTTTAATTCTTTCTCTGAAATGGACTCTGGTGCCTGTAAAGAGATAAAAGGAGGTCTGCTCCAGTACAATGAGAAGATTTACAGAGGGTATAGCACAAAGCCAGTGGCTGTGAAAGTGGCTTGGAGACTGGCTATCTCCAAGACTGGGAGAGGACTTTAGAAACACCTTGTTTCCTTACATCTGGTGTCCTTAGGCAGGAAAGTAAGCGTTCCCTCTCTCTCTAACCCCTTTCTGGGTGGAGTTACATAGTTACGTGTGTAGGGAAATGTACCATCAAAGGCACAGTGTACCAACAGCATACCTGGCCAATGGACTGCAGCAATTTGGCAACATGATTGCCTACAGCAGCAGCATCTTTCTTTGCTTTTTCACGGTAACTACAAAGCAGCAACAACAACAACAAAAACTACAATTAACAAACTTTAAAGTTAGCAAAATTTAAAATATTATTGTGAAGCAAACAAAAAACTTCTTTCTTTTTCATGAAAAAATACTGGCCTAGCAACATGAAATACAAAAATGCTAAAGAAATGCTAACAGCAACACCTATTAGTGGTTGAGGATCTTTCCAGTGTTGGTGATAGACTCTTGAAGTCCACTAAAACTGAGGCTCCCACTATAATTAAGAGCATCCAACTTCTGCCCACTTGGAAGGGTCCATAACCCAGGGTTCTCTGACAGAGGACCTGATAAAATATATCACTAAAGAACATGACTTGCCTCCTTGAAGTCAAGTCAAGAAAAGTTAGACTTCAAAACAGTCCATCTACAAATTCATACAAAATTTTTCTTTAGGTCTATTTACTTTTCACCCTCTAAAAATGATCAGTGGTCAAGCTGACTACTTGCCATGTGAGGTTACACTTCTCAATTGACATTTCTCAGGTTTTGAATACTCTGAACTCTTAGACTATGACAACAAACTAAGATGTGTTAAACAATGAATGACATCTCTTGTGTGACATAATTTGACCCTTGAGGAAACCAAGCCAGTAGTCTGGATTCACTGGCATCCCGCCCCAATTACACAAAGGTAATATCCATGTAGACCCATTCCTGTAATAGTTTATCTAGGTCAGGCTAGTAATACTGGATAGCAGATATCTATCTATAATTATGGACTTCTTAAATTACGAAAGAGTAATTACAAAAAAAAAAATCAAAATTAAGGACTTCACAGTTCAAAATTATAGACAGAAGGCCATGATTAAGAGTTAAGGCTCAGAGGGGCTGGGGATGTGGCTCAAGCGGTAGTACGCTTGCCTGGCATGTGTGCAGCCCGGGTTCGATCCTCAGTACCACATACAAACAAAGATGTTGTGTCTGCCGAAAACTAAAAAATAGAATATTTTTTTAAAAAATTCTCTCTCTCTCTCTTAAAAAAAAAAAAAAAGAGTTAAGGCTCCGAAATTGGGTTTCATGGTGTTCGAATCTATGGTTCTGTCATTTACCAGCTGTCTGACTCTCAATAAGTTACCTTTCCTAGGCTTTAGTTTCCTCATCTGTATAAAGTTGTTGTGAATCATTGTTTTAAATGAATCAATGCATAGAATAGTTCACAGTACAGAGTAAGTAATCAAACGGTAGGTTTTATATTGAAATTTGAAAGAAAAAAATCTGTCTCCACAGTAAGGAACTCTGTACTTCCCACTCACTTTTGTTTTGAACCAAAAATTGCTCTAAAAGTAAAATTTATCAAGAAACCAACCAAGCAACAAAAAAATTGCTCCCTAAATTCTGTATTTTTAGAACAGCAAGGTTATAATAGACTTACATTTGATTTCTGATAAAATGTTTATCTCTAATATAAAGAGGTTAAACTGTTACATAGTTTGGAAACAGTGACTTACACATTTTGTAGTTTTATATATTTGCCTGAATCTGCAATCATATCAGGAATTGTGCCTCGAACAGGTAAATTTCCTTGACCCTCTTTGGCCACAAATTCCTTTAAGGCACGGGCTAAAATCCAAAATGGTGGAGTCTAACAGAATAAGAAAAAAATTAACATTAAGTGGTGTTTTATTTTGATCTAGAGGTTAAGATAGCATTATTTTTACTTGTTACCTGTTTGGTGATATTTATGCAGCGATCATCATTAAATATATCTTCAATACTGCTTGGAATCTAACAAAAGAACATGAAACATTTATTTATACTAAGAACTTGTCCACCTTATTTTCAATGTTATTTATTCAAGTACTTTGAATTCTCAGAGTGTCGAAAATACCAACTTCTGATTTGTTTAGTTTTATTGAGAATCAGAACCTGCTGGAGCTCAGATGGGGAAGAAAGAATGAAACCAAGTCCTCTCCTGCCCACTGCTAGCATTCAAGGCTGGTCTATTCTCCTACATCCGAAATGGAGTAAAGGAGCCCAAGTAAGTCATTTTTGTAGTTAACATCTCCAGATGACAAAGATAATGTAGACATCTGTACTAAATCAGATTTATAGTTCTTCATGGTTTTCCTGCTTGTCAAAAAAAATTTGAAATCCTTGCACCTTAACTAGAGACTACTAAAAGAGACAACCACTCTGAAAAAAACTAAGATGTTTTATTTTATTAGCAAGTAAGATCATCAAATATTAATAAAACTATACAAATTACAGGCTTTGATTCTACTGTTATATGGAAAAAGAAATTTCTTGGTGGAAACCCCCTACTGATCTTTCTGCTTCTTACCTCAGTCCTTTCCATTCTAGTCTGCTCACAAGAATCAAAATGAACTTTAAGAAATACAAAGCAGATCATTCCACTTCCCTACTCAAAATCCTTCAATGGCCTACAAGGCCCTATTATGATCCAGTTCTTTCTGCCTCTCCAAACTCAATCCTTCCCACCACTTTCCCCCTCTTCACTTCAATTACACTGGCTTTCCTAATGACCCTTGAACAATGCCACGCTTCACTCTACTTTTGGGCCTTTGCATATGTGTTTCCTCTGCCTGAAAAGTTTCCACCAGAACTCTGCATATCACTTCACTCATATTTCTGCTTAAATGCATCTCTTCAAAAGTTTTCCTGACCCCCATCTAAAATTTGCCTCCTGAACCCAGACCACCTCTGGCCTATCATGCTTTTGCCCTTTGTTCTGTTCTTATTTTTGTTAATAGCAACCAGTACGTTTATATCTGTTTATTAAATTTACTGTATTCCCAACCACTAGAACTTTTTCTTTTAATTGCAGTTCATTTTCTATTCAGTGAAATGCACAGATCATGTATAATCTGATGTATCTTAATAACTATACATATGTATTTTCAATATCACTCCAATTAAGAAATTAAGAAAGGGATGGGGATGTGGCTCAAGCGGTAGCGCGCTCGCCTGGCATGCGTGCGGCCCGGGTTCGATCCTCAGCACCACATACAAACAAAAATGTTGTGCCCGCCGATAACTAAAAAAATTAATAAATAAATATTTAAAAAAAAAGAAATTAAGAAATAGAAAATTTTGCCAGGCATGGTAGTACATACATAT